CAAAAAAAAAAAACAAAAAAAATAGACTCAGTCAATTTAAGAACTTATTTTTCTCCCAAATTATGACATTTCAAAAAGGGCAATTCAAAGGATAAGAATATACTTTAGTCTTGACATGAGAGATCCTATCTAAAAGAAACTCTCTGTTTTCTAAAGACCAAAACCATCACATAAGAGTTTAGTCAAACACAAGCTGACATGTCTTTGAAACTCTGTCCATAGACTTTAACTTCTCTAACATGCGATGATTTTTGTTCCAAAATGTTGTTGAGAATGTCGCCATCTTTAGACAAGTAGCGTTTGCTAATATGTACTCAGCCACATTCCTCTCTTGCTTTGTGCCTTCATATTTTCTCCATTCCAAGATCTCGAGGTGCGTCAATGAAGATTTGGGAACAACTTTTGGTTCGTTAGAACAAGTCATTTTATGAATGTCACGAGTACTTCTATGTTTCTGAGACAAAAAGGAATCAAATAGACGTGTTTTAGTGTTACGGATCGTTCAAAACGAAAAGCGGAAACACAAAGACAATGATTCATCTACGTACAACAACTTACCGACTTAATTAGCTTGAGAGATTGAAGTCTTGGAGCGTCTTCAAGTATATGGTTAAGTAGATTCCACCATCCCGCAGAACATGTACATAGCTCTAGATGTTCAAGGTAGAAGAAGAAACTGCCTCTATGATATGGAGTCTGCAATTGAAGTATACATTATTTATAGTAATGAGAATAACAAAACATAAAAAGAGAATCTTGACATTATTGGAAAGCTTTTTACCTGAGAAGTTCGAGAACAGAGAGAAAGATGTTGGATTGAGGTAAGAGATCCTATGAACTTCTCAGATTGGTCACAAGTAACCTCGATATTCGCCTTGATCACCTCCGGCATATGTTCAAACATTAGAAAGATACTGAACGTATCCTTAATGTTCAAATACATCAAAGAAGGAGCTTTTATCACAAACCCATGAATATCTGCACCCTTGACGCGTTTCCGGCCCTCCGAGTTATCGATTGATAAACTCCTCAAAGTAGGCACACTAATATTGAATATCATCACATTGTCAACTTCTTTTTTGTTTACAACCAAATTTTCAAGAACAGGGCAACTGCTTAAAAGCCTTTCAGCAGATTCGTCGCCCGAGAATTTAACCGATAGAAGGTGAAGACTTTTGAGTGATAGCTAGCAAACGAAAACCAGGCGGAACAACCTCGATTCTCAAGTCCACGAGTTTTAATGTTTTTAGGGTTCTACAAAAGCTCAAGCAACTATGCAGTTTTAGGTTGTTGCCACCCATGTTGATTTGCAGCTCTTTCACAGATCGATCAACTGCGGTATGAACCCAAACATCGATCTCTTTATCCCAATGATAGGGTAGATTAAGCTTGAGACACAATCTCTCAAGAACTTGAGCTTTGCTAAACAACAAAGATCTATAAACAAAACTCGTAAAACTCTCACTATCATCATCAAACAAATCAGCATCAAAATTGAAATCCGGCACCAGTTTCCAAAGATTTCGCCAACGTTTTGATATGAGAGATGTTGGTACAGTGTCTATAAACATAGGAAGCGATGACAATATCTTCAAGAGCAATTCATCTGGCAACTCATTGATCCCCTTTGCCTCCATTGTTTTTTAATTGGAAGTGAATTTTTTTGTTCTCGAATTTGGGAAAACCCTTCTTGAAATTTATAAGAAAACGTAGTTTCCTTTTTTTACTTGGACTTGAATTAGCCTCGAAAGCACTTAAAAAGGTAACTTGGGACGCAGGAAAAGGAGAAAGTAAGCTAATAAGAACCCTGGAAAAACGGTCTATTTCCCCACGAAAACTATGACATCATAACAGATAGAGCCCAAACTATGACCACGATCCAGATGTCCCCGAGAAAATACTTTTCAACCTATATCTCCCTAAATCGATAGTTTTCATCTAATTTTCCATAGATCTCGGTTTAATTGGTTTACTAACCAAATCCGATAAAAACCACTCAAACCGGTACCAAACCACTCAAACCGGTACCAAACCACTTGCATATCAAACCTTCTTTTGATTCAGAGAGTTTTAATAACCAAAACAAACAAAAAAATTAAAAAACAAATGACAAAATTACATCCTTTTCTTCGTCTTCTTCATTCTTCCCCTTCTCATTCCTGATTATGCTTATTTGGAAAATTAGTGCATGTCTCTCTTTGATTGTTATGATGAATTTCAGGTTTATTTTGAAGATCGAGGGGAGATTCCGCAGAGATTTTACAATTCACAAACAACAATCTAATTAGACAAAATCAACATCTCAATTATTAAATCTGTTTTATCGAATTCTCATCCGTCTCCAGGGCCGAATCGAAGGAAACGTCAACTAGCTCCGTGCCCAGATTGAGAAATCTAACCCTATGAACTCGAATCTGAATGTTCCGAGGGGAAGAAGAAGAAGAGATCTTATGATACTAATTTTGACATTCTTATGATACAGATGAGCATAGTTCCCTGAATCGATTTGAATTGGATTCATAATTAAATTTAAAATTTGGGTTCATAATTGAATTTTGAATTTGGGTCCATCAAAACACAAATCGTATTTTGATTCTGGGGATGAAGAAGGAAGAATGGAGGAAGAAGACCACGTGTTTTTATATAAAAAATTAATAATAATTCATTTTTTATTTATTTATTTTTCAAATTTAGTTTTCTTTGGTTATAATTGGGTTTAGTTTATTTAGTAATCGGTTAAGTAAACAGTAAACCGATAAAACCAAGTTTTATGGGTTAATAGATCTAAAACAATTAATTCGGGGAGATTTAGATATCGAATTTTCGTTTCATGGAGAAATAGATATAGAACTATTTTTTCATGGGTAAATAGCTCGTGATCATAGTTTGGGCTCTATCTGTTATGATGTCAAACTTTCCGTGGGGAAATAGACCGTTTTTCCTAAGAACCCTAGTCAAAAGAAAGAGTTTGAGTTTTGTCTTCTTAATTACTAATGCGGTGTCGTTTTAGACTTTTATCCCACGAGCTTTTGCTAGATTGGCGTTTTATCAGATGGGCTTTTAAGAAGCGAACAGATTTAGTAAACACGCGCTTTATTCGCTAAAATATGCGCGTGGGATATTTTGTTTACCAGCTTGGATCCATTATAACGCTTTTTTGTTTTATTTATTTTGCACTTTTCTTTGATAATTTCATGCAAGATTGGAACTTCGAAAGAAATATTTATTTTTTAAAATGAAAAGTGAGTTTTTTTCCATCTTTTTTTTTTTTTTTTCCTCAAAACACCATTTCTACTAAGATATCGGAAAGAGACTCTCCGCTAGGGAGAGCCAATCAGGAACCGACGAGCTTACATGGGAAAAGAGACTGTTACGAGATCGAGCAGTTTTAGCCAAACAATCTGCTCGAGTATTAGAACTACGAGGAAGGAATCTAATACTAAAAGAAGGGAAAAAACAAACGAGTGACCGGAAAGAGGCCATTTCTGCTGCGAAGGTTGGCCAAGCGTCTTGGTTGTCAATGAGAGATATCATATCCGAGCAATCGGATGCGAAGGCGCAAGTAGTAATGCCTAGCGAAATCAAACACTCCATTGCCCAAAGCAAAGAATCAATCTCTGCGTGGAGTGGTGAGAGACTTCGTCTCGAACTCTTTAAGCCAAGCTGGAGAATACGGTCTTGGTCGACTAAAACCCAACTATGTCCACTTAGGGAATCCTCTGAATGCCAGGAAGCATCCGTCTGACATTCTGAGATCCGGGAAAGGGACGAGTGGAGTAAAACCGAGCCGGCGAGAGGCTCAGGATCTGCCGCTTCTTTCGTGTTCGCTTTCTTCCAAACAGAGGCTTCTTGTAAGGCCAAGGCCAAAGTCTCCTGAGGAGGTTCTTTAAAGTTTTCAAAGCAAAATCTGTTACGACTGTTCGATTATTTTTTCCTTTTTTTTTGCTAAAGATATTCGAAATTTTTAAGGAGACTTTTAATATGTAGTAATGTCTATACTAAAAATATGTGTGAAATGTGAATAGGAATAAATAAACCCCTAACTCAGGACTTTAATTTGCAATATGTATATTCAAGTATCATAGATTTTTACTTTGAATTTTATTCAGTGTGTACAAGCTATAAATCGTTTGAAACTTGAATCTTGATATTATCCTCTATATATCAGGAAAAAAAAAGCTGTTTATGTGTCGGGAAAAGGTTGTTTAAAGAAGGACAAGATTCTTGTTTTAAGGATATCGCGTAAAGAGTAATTTACACAAAATGTGAATATAAAATAATTTGAGGATATACGTTGTTATTTTTCTATTTAAATTGCTTTTTTTAGGAAAAGTCGTTATTATTAGTGATGGGAACTAAAATTTTCGGTCCAATTAACAAAATCAGAAATAAAAAAGGGAATATGGATAGAGGTGACGAGGACATGATTCGGATATGTTTTAAGAGAATGGGTCTTATCCTCTTTTGCCTAGTAACAGCACCATAGGGACTTGAAAAAGAAAACTCCCTAAGCAAATCTAAACCATAAATACTACTATTTTAATTACACAAACCGACCTTTATTTATATTTTATCTTCTCTGCAAAACCTTTAGACCTAATCTCTTTGTTTATCTATTTTTTTAGTAAATCCTTTATTTTCACTGGAACATCTGTAAATGACAGAAACAACATATGTTATCTTATCAAACTACAAAAAATACTAATTATAGTTAGTTTAGAAATGAAAATTTGTAATGTTATGGAAAACGAATAATACTCTAAATAACAAATTAAAGGGAAAAGTGAGTTAAGAAAAAACCAAAAACAAAAAGCAAAAAGCTGTGATATTGATAATGACGGCCCATAGAATGAGAACCACATATGAGAAAACACAATAATAGCAATTAACATATGCGATGAGATAATCAATAATAACAAAACAAAACACAAAATTTTGGAGATAAAACTTGAAAAAAAAAAGAAAGTGAAATTATATATTTAAAAGGGTCAACGTTATCCACGGCTTGCACGTAAGTAATACCCACACATATATTTATCCTTTTTTTCTTTCTCTTTTTTCGCTTTTAAAATTTTAAAATAAAGAAGAAATAACTCAAAACCTCTTCACATATCCATATATATTGTAGATATCTGCAAATAGAAGAACTCATGTTTCTTTGTTTCCAATTGTAGAACAACAACACACCAATCCTTTGACAAAACAACTTTCTTTCTTGTGTGTTTTCTCTTATGTTTAAAGATATGAATCTGAATCTGAAGCAAATGGGCAACATGATCTATGAAGATCCAACAAGGATCCAAGAAGAAGACATTGTTCAAGGAGTTTCAAGAACATTCTCTGATGAAGAAGAAGATTCATCATCTTGTTCATTATCTTCTTCCATGTGTTCTTCATCTGATTTAACAGAGGATGATGATGATGATGTTTCTTCATCTTCTTCTAATGGACCTCTTGAAGATCTCTCTGACCTCATGTCACATCTCCCAATCAAGTAAGAAAACAATCTTTTTGGAAGTTTTTGGATTTTGGGGTTTAGTACCTAATGGATCTAAACATTCTTCATCTCTGTTTTCTGGTAATAACAAAAGTTTTGTTTATTATTATCTCAGGAGGGGATTATCAAAGTTCTATGAAGGAAGATCTCAATCATTCACATCACTAGCAAATGTTAAAAGCCTTGAAGATCTTATGAAGAGAGGGTTTAAAAATAGAAACTATGGAGCAAAAAGAAAGTCATCTAGGAGTACTGGAGGGATTTTAGATCAAAGCTATAAAAGGGTTTATAGTCCTAGAGCTACAATCTCCAAGAAACCCAACAAAACACCTTCCTCTGCTCTCTCTTGTCTTGCCAGAAGAAGACCTTAGATCTCAGACAAATATTAGACTTTTTTCTTCTTCCAAGTTTTAACCCTTTTTACGATTCACCATAATCGGTTTCAGTAACATAACAAGGGAATTAAACATCGTAGCATTCCACTGTCTTAATTTGTAGAATAGACTTGTTTACACTTTTTTTTTTGGCTGTTTGGTTGTATGTATCAAAGCTTGTAAACAGGAGTGATTCAGAGAAGGTGGAAGCATTTCCGCATAACTATGGCTGTTGCTTTACATAGTAAGAGTCGGCTTGTCTCTTGTTCCGAACCAGTAACCTGACAAAGTTTTATAATGGACCATTGTTTTACGTTAAGTAAGAATCAGACCATTTGGTGATTTGATTATGCAAAAAGATTCAAGTCAATTTTAAGTTAAGAATCAGGACAACTTTTAGTATAGAATGTTTGATAACATACCTGAAAATTTGTGTAGAACTTGTAGTATTCAGATAAGTTAAAGAGGTACTTGCACAGTACGCTTGGTAAATACTTCCTCAACAGTCTGCAAGAACGTTCACAACATTGATCTAATCGTATAAGATCTTTTCATCGAAAAAGAAAAACAGAGCTATCGACTGATCGATCTACCTCAGAAAATCGTAGCGAGTGAAGTCCTAGTGCTCGTTCATCCGCATGATTCAACACTAGCTTTCCTGTCTGCAACAAAGCAAAGAAGATGTTGTGAATATGAATTCAAGGAACACAAAGAAGTAAATTTGAGATTATGCAGCCAAAACAAACACACCTTCTTAAGCTCATTTATGTCTCGGCTGTTTAATCAAGCTCCTAAGGAGTCCACTCTTGTTCCTTACCTGCACAGAGTCAATCTCAGAGGTTCAATATTTTCACATACGTAACTTATTCAAGAGAATGATTCAAGAATACCAAAATGTAAACAGTAACAAAGGCATTTATACCGCACTCAATAAGAACATCTCTACTGCGAGTCTTGGCATCATCTAGCAAATAACTTAAAGGGACCACATCTGAATCTCGAGTTCTAAATGGTTTGCCATCTTTTGGCTTGACAAAACCAAAACCAACATGGCTTGTTTTAGGGTAAGTCTTGTCATCATTATCCTGATTCAGCCTTAAATGAAAACAACCATGAATTAGAGTTAAGTTAAATCAAGACACAGAACTTCACATAAAACCTACTTTTGAACACCAAATCAAAGTGCAACTGTTGTCATAACCGGTAACATATAATCCACTCAGCTTTCTCTTCATTAAGTCGATACCTTGAAAAAACAGAGTTTATCATCAGCAGACAATTCATTAAACAATATACACTTATTGAAGAAAACATTCAAAAGATAACCAACCAAAGAGCAGTCAGATCTGTTGTCTCATGTTATAACCACCATGACTCTTAACAACCATAAGTGGCTTAGCTATGCCTTCATTGAGGATTCTTGAACTGAGTACCCTCCTTTCCTTTGATCTTGGACCAGAGATGCACCGCATTGTTACTGTAAACAACAGTATTGAGAAAGAACATAAGTAAGCAAATAAAGAAAACCAAATTTTGGGGAAAAAGAGAGCAGAACCATTGGTAATGACCGAAATTTTCAGAGCAGGTTTCAACATTAGGTTCATCCGGAACCGGAACAGTTAGTTTAGAGACGCTTCAAAGAGCTTAGAAACTTACTGTTTGAGGTTTCCCGTGAGTTCTTCCTCCTGTTCCAGAACCTTAACATAAGTTTCAAAACAGAGAAACAAATATCATTTTATCTCCACCATTCTCTCCAAGTTAGAAGCGCCACTTACCGTTGCCATGGCTGATGTGTCTTGGTTGCCAAAGGATAAGTCTCCAAAACTGTTGTTCTCAATTTGAGTGTCTACATTGCAGAAAAATCATTACAAACATTAGCAACTTCCCAACAATCGATTGTGAAGTATCAGTAGTTCAGTACGTACGATTATGAAATCAGGAAAAGGTTTTATCAGCCGTTAACGCTAAACCCTGGCACCACTGGAGTCTAAATTGCGGATCGGGTAGTTGTAATCGCTAGGGTTAAGGAAGAATATGAAGAAGAAATCAGGAAAATTTTCTTACGACTTTAAATTCTCCGGAGATCGGTGGTGTTGTTCTTCTCTCTATCTAAGTGGCTTGATCAACAAGGCGACTAAGAGCATCTCCAATGGAAAAGCTCTCACCATTGGACTCTCTCAATTGTTTAATATAAATTTTAGAGTTTTGTGAGATGAGAACTTTTAATTTTTTTAAAAAAATTTTTCATAGTCCAATGGTAGGTTCTCTAGTGGAGCTCTCTTAGCAAAAAAAAAATTATTAAAAATTTTATTTCATTAAACTATATAATTATTGCAATTCATAAAAATATTAAACATTTGATCAAATTCATGTGTTTTAGTTTTTAAAACACTTGATCAAATTTTGGGAGATGGAGAAAAAGAAGATATGGATTCAAGTCATGGTTTTGTCTTTTGTGGTTGATGTAAACTTAAATTACATATGGAGACATGTTTAAGTCATGGTTTAAGTTTTCATATGGTGTCAAAACTGAGTTAATTTCTGTTCTAAAGACGTGTTATTTAGGCTGTCCTTTTTAGCTTACAATGTTAACTTCATATTTTGTTTGTTTCAGTTCGTCTTTTGTCTAGACTGATGGAAAGTCGGCCATTTCATACCCAACCTATACAGTAGTGTTCAATTCATACATGAAAGTTTACTATTTGCCAATACATACCCAATCTTTTAAAATTTTCAAATTTTATACCCAAACTTATCAAATTGTGCGAAATCACACAACTTTTATCTTTATTGCTGACGTGGATGCCACGTCGTTGATGACGTTGATGATGTGGTTGCCACGTCTTCTCATTTTTTTTTCCATCACTATCATCCAACGGAACTGTGAAAAAAATTATATATTTGATGTAAGAATTTAAAATCTTCTTTTCGAGACTGATAACTAATATTTCAACCAAAACTAATATTTAAACCGAGTTTATAAACTCCAAATTTACAATTCTTCTAAAAATCTTCAAATCACTTTTAGTAGTAAACATAAACCCTTACAATATGTCTTCTATATTAATCAAAAGACATCTTTAAGTTGATAACAAAAAAAGAGAACTTAATTACATATATTACTATTAGAATAAATTGTATTTTAAGAACAAAATACAATTTCCCATTACTGGTAAATGGTAATATTGTCTTTGTATCTTAACTTATATATATATATATATATATATTCAAACAACCCTAATTGACAATGATAATTAATTTATATAAAAAAATATTTTGTTCCTAAAAGACAATTATCAAATGAAAATAAATGTAAAAAATTTCTTCAAAGATTAATATATAAGATTATTGTAGGGTTTATATTTTTCATTGAAAGCAATTTGAAGATTTTTAGAAAAAGAATTGCGAATTTTGAGTTTAGAAACTCGGTTTAAATATTAGTTACGGTTAAAATATTAGTTATAAGTCTTGAAAAGAAGATTTTAAATTCTTACATTAGATATATAATTTTTTTCACAATTCCGTTGGATGATAGTGATGGACAAAAAACATGAGAAGAGAAAAATTTTTTTATTTTTGTTTAAAATGGTGATGACGTGGCAATAACGTCATGAAAGACGTGGCAACCACATCATCAACGTCATCAACGACGTGACATCCACGTCAGCAATAAAGACAAAAGTTGTGTGATTTCGCACAATTTGATAAGTTTGGGTATAAAATTTGAAAATTTTAAGAGATTGGGTATGTATTGGCACATAGTAAACTTTCATGTATGAATTGAACACTACTGTATAGGTTGGGTATGAAATAGCCGACTTTCCGTAGACTGATTGGTAGGAGTAATTCATCATATACTCAGAGTCAATATATTTTGCAACTTAGAATCAGTCATTGTGAAACCTCTCAAAAACAAATTTTGTTCTCTGAATACACTATCTTAATAGGAGACTAGTCCTTTGTTCTAATGTTCAAGGTGGAACACAAACTCCGTCAAGCGTTGCAGCTTCGATGAATCCACTTTTTGCTCTCTTTTAACACCTTCTTTCTTCACAGTCACCATTTGAGAAGTTGCATCCACCGTCCATCCATTCTCTACAACATATGTGTATATCCAGCAAAAAGGAAAACAATTGTATTGTGAATCCTGATTCCGTAACATATATGATTGTCATTAGATCCATGCCAACAAAAACACTAAGCTAAGACATTGCCACAAACTCTTTGAGATTCTTCAAAAGTGGATACATTCCCAAATAACTTTTTATGATTAGTTTCAATATAAGAATGACTTCAGTAGAAATATGAGAATTAATGTGTGATGAGGTAGTTAATCTTTTGAAAGCAAAGGAAATTGCAGAAAGAAGCTTACAAGTTATGGCCTCATCCTCTGTCATCCCAAGGAAAAGAGCTAAATCATAAATGGTAATTGTGGAGTAGGCATACAACAAAAACTGAAACATCTTTTTTGTGTAAAGATTTGCAACAAAACCAATTCAGATATAGAATTAGAGACTAATGGAATGTAAATTTAAACAAATGAGAAGTGGACATTAAGGTCAGGTGTTGAACAATTGATGTCTTTAAATGGTCATTCAGATGTGGAGAAAGGTACAACGTCACAAAATTCAGATCAACGTGGAATCTTTGACTCTCACTTGTCATTGACACATGTAAGCCAAAATAGAGAGTAAAACAAAAGTGGAATCTTTATTGACCTCTAATGGAGACGAAAGGGATGATGAGATGATGAGAATTGGTGGCAATGAGGTGAGAGAGATTAGTGGAACTAACATAAGAGCCAACGATGTTTTTGAAAGATACAATTTAGTATTCCCATTGACAATCGAAAATCTAATAATCTCAATGCCACAGTCTCATAATCAATAGATCTGTATGTTTCTCATCATACACTACCAAACATAATTTGTTTAAACGTTTGAATCAATAACAAGAACATCAAATCCACAACTCTAAACACTTCAAATTGACAAAATTAAAAGGCGACAAAGCTTAATTAAGCTCAATTGATGAAGAAATATGGAAATGGAGAGTGAGTGAGTCTTACCTTGTAAGCAGTTGCAATTCTCAGCTTCCTTTCAAACAACGCCGAGCACATAATTGATCAATTCAACTCCCTTAGACGGAGTCGGAATAATCGTGTGAGCAGAAGATCCATGTTCTTCCATCAATCGTCGCCGAGCACATAATTGATCAATTCTCAGCGGCCTCTCTGTTCTTCCATCAATCGTCGCCGGCGGCCTCAATCGTCGGAGAAAAGCAATCGCCATCGCCATCTCTCTCAAAGAAAGAGAGACAAGAGTCGGGGAAATGAAATGTGTTTGCCTACTTTCCTTTTTTTTTTAGCGTTCTTTTTTTTTTTTGATCAAAAACAATCGACGGTTGAGAACACGCCACGTCATCGACTCTCATACATCTCAAGGTTTCTCTCAAGAGAGCTGTCTCTCTGAATTTTGATTTATTTTTGAAGATTTTATTCAAGAGAACCATCTGTGAGAGCCCAAAAAAACACCCATTGGAGATGCTCTAAAGGTTTGTTTAGAGGATGAAATTGCAACACCCTTATTAAAAACGACGACGTATTAACGCAACATGTAAGAAAACGCAAAAAACGGCGTCGTTTCATCAGTTGATGTTAATTGCTACGATGCCGTTTTAAGGTTATTTTCAGCATCGTCGTTTCCATATAGATTTTTAAATTCTATTTATCTATTTCACTTTTTCATATCCGGTTTGGTACGGTTCAACCGGGTTTAATATTTTAGATGACGGTACTCTATCCACTTTCTCGGAGAAATAATGCTGGAATGCCACCGTCTTTTTTTTTTTTTTTTTTTTCCTTCCAATAGCTTTATTAATAACCAATATCAGAGTTTACAACATTTGCTAAAAACAGGGGACATGAATAGAACAACATTGCATTGCTATTGCACGTTAGTGCCTTCCTTGCTAGCATATCTGCACATTCGTTACTCTCCCGACTCCGAAATCTGAAAGTTACGGATGTGAACATAGTCTTCCAGTTGCGGATCGTGTCGAGGTAGTGTTGAAGCCTGGGATTTGCTGCGTTTCCATTGATCAGACGGTTTATAGTGATATTATCTCCTTCAAACTCAATTGACCTGTATCCTAATCCCCATGATGATTGAAGTGCCCATATTAATGTTGTGCATTCTGATTCTTCAACTGTTGCCCGTCCTTGGAATTTTCCCATACCGCATTCTAGAACAGTCCCATTTGAGTTTCGAATTATCCATCCTAGTCCCGATGGGTAGTTCCCTGTATGATGAGAAGCATCATAGTTACATTTGACCCAACCCCTATCTTAGTGTTTTCCCCGTTACCGATGGCAACTTGGATTCCAGTTTTCAAAAGGTCTCTTCCAAATCGCAATGAATTCCATCCATACGAAGGTTTCGTTCCTCTATTTGCGGAGAAAATATCGCCATCTTTGAAGTACCTGGCCTTTAGAAGCCGAAAGATCATGCTGTGAGGCCTTTGTATAATTTTCCATACTTGATTCGCTAGCAAGGCTTGGTTAAACAAATGTAGGTCGCGAAAACCCATTCCTCCCGTTTTTTTGATGTCACCAGCTTCTTCCAAGCAACCCAAGATATTTTCCGTTTTTCCTTAGTTGAACCCCACCAGAACCGGGCTATCATACTATCTATTTCCGAACAAAGCTCCATAGGTAACTAGAAACAATTCATCGAATAGACCGGCATGGCATATGCTACTGCTTTGATTAGTGTTTCTTTCCCGGCTGTGGAGAGGAACTTGGTTTGCCAGCCATCCATCTTCTTTTGAACGTTGTCATAGATGTGGATGTCGGATTCACACACTCAAGTATTTGTTTATTTAGTGAGAAGGATTATTCTTGAGGACAAAAATTGATTTAAAAAAAGCTATGAATAGATATGAAAATGGATATAGTATATTTGCTAGAAAAATTGCGTGTGTTTTACATGGCCCTTGGCCTTCTTATTTATACTAACAAACAACATTTAACTCCTAATTAAATACAATTATTCTCTCTTAAATGTGTCCGTTTCAGTCTTTGAGTTTAATGCTCAAACGTTCGAATTTGAATTGATTCCGATCTTCATGGGCCTCACATTTCAACCCAAATAATCTCGAACCGAACTATCCGTGACTTCGACTCCGTTCCCACCTCGCGGTGTGACCACTTCGCCCGTATCTTCCTCTTGATCTAAGGGTCTTATGGGCCTTATCTCTCGTGGGCTTCTCCTCTGCTTATGTGGCAATCTTTGGTTGGTCCCGGACTACTGGTGCGGGATCCGACACTAACAATTAGCCCCCCAAGTCTTCCGAAGTGTTATTTTAGTTCGGAAGATTTTAATGCTTTAATGACCAAAGATTACGCTTGAAAATCTTCTGATTTCCCGCCGAAAATCTCATCACTCCTTTAATTTCGGCACTATCCATTTTTAACCGTATGACATCTTGATAGTTGTTCTTAATAGATTGTGACTCAAAATGATTCAATTTGCCTTCAGACTTCAAGGGTTTTGCTTTACTCTGCCATTGCTTTGATCTAGAGGATAAAATGAACAAGCATAGAAATTTATCTAATTTGGAGCTATAATGAGCAGAAGATTAAATAGTTGCAGCAGAAACTAAAAGATTGAGGATTTGTTTGATTGTAAACAATAGAATCATATGGTGAAAGTGAAGTTTTATGTACAACTAGATCACTTAGGTACAACTGAGATAATTTTGGTATAAGTTGAACTATTTGGTGCAACTGCACTTTTTGATTGTTCGGATAGTTTTTTTTGTTTTTGGTGCAAAAAACTACGTGTTTGTATATGGTAAAAAAATTGGACCTTTTGTTTGTATATGGTAAAGTGGATCTTTTGTTTATGTATTTTGGTGGTATTTTAGTGCAACTGGAATTACTAGGTATAACGGAGATGTAATTATTCGGTTTAACTAGGTAAACTAAGATGAAAAAAGTAAAAAAAAGTATAATATTTAGATTATATTTATGTTCAATTGGTTTTGTAGGTACAACTAGTCTATTTAGGTACAACTATGTGTATGGGTTACTTATAAGAAAGTACAATTACATCACTTAGGTACAACTGAGACATTTAAAAATAACATTTAAAAAAAAAATTAATTAAAATAAATTTAAAAAAAAAAAATGATCCACGTAAGCATGATTTTTGGCGGCGGGATATTAATTTTAAATCATCACACGTGTGGTAAAGTGGGCCAAAGACAGCATGATATTAATAAAAAATTGTTTTGTTTTAAACATAGTTGTACCTAGTTGTCCAGTTGTACTCTCATATTCATAGTTGAACTTTAGCTATTTTTGTGTATTTCCAGTTGGACTTTAATGAAAATTAGTAATTTCCAGTTGAACACATGATGTTATACTTTTAATTATCATTTAGGAGGTTTTCATAACACAATGTTCAGAAAAACTTGATTTTTACCTCTTTTGCTTCATATGCAGTGATCACTTACTAAGTCTTCCTTATATTGGAAGAAGTGTGTTATGTGAAAATATTTTTTTTTTTTACAAAATTGATAAATTATGGTTGTATTGATTTTAAATAATCTATTTATATTTGAAGATGTTTTTAGGGAATTTCTTATATAAATATTAATTTATAACTTGTTATAATTTAATAAAATGCATAATACAATGAACGTAGTTGAACTAATAGTATATATTTGGAAAATGATAAATTCGAGTTTTATTTATTTAAAATTGTTTGTTTATAGTTCAAAATATTTTTGGAATCGATATAAACTCTAATTTATCGTTTTCATATTTGTTGTATAGAACTACGTATACATTTATGGTCTTAGTTATACTCAGTCGAACCTAGTTGTACAAATACGACGAATTCAAATACAGATATGTTCTTAGTTGTACCCAGTCGAACCTAGTTTTATAAATTTGACAAATACTAATACATGTTTTATTTTCCAAATCATTGAATATCTTTGCATGTAAAACATATAGATCTGTAAGTAAAAATGGTTATCAATAATATCATATATTTACTTTGAAATTAAAATAACCAAAGTACAACGTTGTTAGCAACTAGAGCATCTACTTTAGCTGGAGTCTTGCCTTTCTTTGATCTTTTTCTTCTTCTTAGGCTTCTCAGATTTAGCCTCCTCATCACCATCTTTTTCCTTGGTTCCCATCTCAGTTTCTACACAAAATTCAGTAATTACGAATCATTAGATATGTTCCGTACATTACAGATGAGAAAAACAAGAATCTGAAATAATTACCGTTTTCAATTGCTTCACAAAGCATTAACAAGATCTATGATGCCTTCGTTCTCATCATCATCAGTAGTTTGGTTTAATTCAGTTAGAAGATTATTTACAACAATTAAAGGTAATCAAGGCTTACTAGTGTGTAACATCTAGAACTGATGATAAGAATCAGTAACTTCAACCATATACAAAAAAAAAAACAAAACAAAAGTTTACCTTTCTCATGATCCTTCTCTTGGTCATCAATCATGACTAAATCAGCATTTCCTATCTCCTTTTGAAGGTCTATTCAACAAAGAAACTACATCTCTATAACACCCTAACATAAAGGATCACAGAATTCAACAATTGTTATAAACTACAGTTTACCTTGTTCCATTGTCCCCATAAGATCAAGACTGGCCTCAACATCAATGGAATGACCATCTACAGGCTCCTCTTGGTATGCATCACAAATTTGCTGGTTCTCTCCCATTCTAGTGCCACTTCCATCGCCGTTTTCATTGTCTTAAGAAAAAACAGATACAACAATAAAAAGGTAAACTAATCAACTAGTATGAATTTTGAGGTAGAATTTGTCATAAGAACTCATGATTACGGAATTGACAGTTGTCGTTTCCAACATCGAATCCCACCACACTCATCTAAGCGCATCAACAAGAGATCTTAGATAATAAAATTCTTGCTCTTCAAAAAGAAATCAAATCAAACAAGAAGAAGGACAAATGATGAAGAAAACTATACAATTATTAGAAACTTCGAATCTCTGATAACTGAGAGAGCGTCGTCGTCGGAGCGGTGGTGGTTGACTCTAAAATGGATTCAGTTTTCTGGTTTAGTGGCATTCTAGCCTCTGACTCGGTATCTAACAAGTCAAAATTAATCCGAGGTTACACGTAAAATCTCAAAGTGCGAAATTCCTCTTTCTCCGGCGATACGAGTATCTGATCCGAGCAATCTCACTCCAAAAGCTTGATTTCCTGAATTTAAAGAATCTGATTTCTGGTTTGTTTCTCTTCTCTCTGTGTTAAAATATCCATTGATCTTTCGTGGGGTATAATAATAGTTATCTTCCTTCTTGCGCATGTATACGATTTGGGTTCTATATGCTTGAGAATTCCCTTGAAATCGAAACAGATCTGTGTAATTTTTATGGATTTACTCGCGTAGGTAGTGGATTTCTAGGTTTTTCAGATTTTTTGTTGTTTTTATCAAATCGTTGTGATTTAAGAGTTGCATTAATCTGTTTGGTTATGTTTCTTCTTGATCTGTAGATGGATAGTGGAACGGTCAACATCAAGAAATGGGTAGTGATATATCTATCCCGTCTATATTAACTCAAAGAAAACTGTAGCTGAGGGAAGAAGAATCAGTGTGAGTAAATCATGTGAGAATCCGAATTGCATTGAGATCAGTGATTGTTGCAAGCATTTGAAACTCCCTAGTGCCGTCGAGGTAATTCATCATCTAAATTGGGTTTACGGGAGGATGTTGTCTTTTTAAACAGTCTTTGATTTGAGGTTTTCTGGTGTTTTTTTAGATTGACAAAGCATACCCGCGCGATTTCATGCAAGTAGGGAGAGTGAGGGTGCAATTGAAAAGGGAAGATGGGACTTTACTCAATCCAGCCATTACTTCAAGTAAGACCTTGCATTTGTATTCGTGATTCTATATCTGCTCACTGTAGAACATTTTTCTTTTGTTTTCTTACCGCTCGCTGTAGAAAATTTGTCTTCTGTTTTTTTCTTTTAGTGTTAACCTAGTGTGATCAATTAGATTGAACTTGCAGTTTTGTATACCTGACTGGAAATCAGAAGCCAGTCTTGTCGTCATTGACTTAGATAATGGAATCTGCTTTATTTACTTTACTTACTCTTGTTGTGTTGTTAAGATCTCTCCTTGTTACCCATGTGTGGATGTGTTCAATCTTCCTACTAATGTTGCCTGATACCAGCCTGCTTGTTATCAAAACTCTAGTCTCTTATATTAACATTCTACTTTATTTTATCTTATATCACCCTGATTCAAACTTTTTCATTGATAATTTTGTCATTTATATCATCACCGATATCAACCTTTGATCTGGAGGCTTCATTTCCAGGGATCCCTAAATTTTTCATTTATGGTCAGCATCATTATTACCAGAATCTCATGTGGGGAAACAAGCTGTTATATTATGTACATATCGATATTATGTGTATGGAACTTACTGCAGCAACTAACTGATTCTTTAGATGTTTATGTTTGTTATGATAGTGTTAACGGAATATCACCTTATGCTAAGTTTATCTGATTTTCTTCTTCACAAATTCTTTATCAATTTGTGCTATATCTTGAATTTCTTTGGTTGGTATTGGTGCATATGATCACGGCAGACTCTGATGCAGAAATAAGCTAATATAGAACTTGTTTATTTCAAGCACTTTTTGGCAAATTGCAAGACATGTGTATGTGTATGTGTATGCATTTGTACTGTTACATCTAAATAGCTAGACCTTGGCACGCAGAAATGAGCGACATAAAACCATTTTCCAAATTGCTGGTTCTTTAGATGTTTGTGTTTACTTTTACCTTATCCTCATCATGCCCAGGAAAGAATAAATATATGAATATACATTTGGCTTGCTGCTTTACATGCTTTGCACGAAAAGACTCCACCTGTGAGAACACTGCAAGTTGTTTGCTACAGACATATGATGTGCTCCTTGTGTTGACGTATATTTGTAGGGAAGCATCTGCTGCAGAAAATTGCAGAGTTGGTACCAAGACATCCAGAGAGAGTGAAGAAGCAGGAAGCTCAGAAAGCGAAGAAGCAGGAACCTCAGGCCACAACTTCAACCTCTGGAACTTCTTCAAAGTCAGGCAAAGGTGGCAAGAAGAAGAGATAAACAAGCCCTCTCTCCCTCTCCCTCTCTCTCACACACATTTATTTTTCTCCTCGCATCAGATTCTATGGCTTTTAATTTCTACAACTTACTGAGAAGAACACAACGGTGTTTTGCAGGTGTAACAATGTTTCAAATAGAACTTAGTCTCTTTCACCCCTAAGCTATTTTGGTTTCATCATTCTGCTTGCTTTTTTTTTGGTATCATCCATTTTAGACAATAAAGAATGACTAAAAAAATAACAGAGATATTAGTTGTTAAGCTTTTGCGATTGCGTTTGAATACATAAGAAGCTTTTGCGTTTTCTACTCAGAAACACTGTTTAATTCAAAAGATCCAAACAGTACATTTAAGGTCTTTGTGACTAACAAAAACTATTCCTGATAGTTGGTCGTTAAAAGCCTTTGTGTCAATTCGATCCAACATCTACCCCTTTGTGCTTGAAGAAGTCCTTAGCCTCTGCAATATCCTGCAACCAAAGAAACAGACAAAAGACACTAAATTAGCAAATATATTAAAGGATGTCAACATTAGATAACACGAATCCGAATTGAGCAGGATGAAAAATAAGAACAAGACCAAATATGGCAAACAATTAGCTATTCTCAAAAGTACCTTCTGCAACAGAACTGCTTCTTGGGGGCAGGTTGGAAATTGCATTAGCCCGATTCCATCAAACATATCAAGGTCATGAATATGCTCTTGGTACACATATTTCTAAAAAATGCGGTACAATACAACAACAATTGTCAATACTTAAAAGCTTAAAGGAAAAGAAGAGCTCTCTGGCTCCATCTACTATCTCATTTAATCAAAAATTAACCCAAGACCTGTCCATAGACATGAAGAATCCCGAATGCATTGCCTGATCAAGGCTCGTAAACTTCAGGAAGACGAAGCCCTACACTAGCTGCAGATTTATTAAGCACTCGTTTCATTTCTTCAGTTCTATCAACCGCAATGTTGTATGAGAACAACAAATCCTGCAACAACCAGATAACTTATCCATGTGAGACTAAAGTCACTAAACACACAAAATGCATTGATGTGCAGATATAGCCAAGCTTCTATAAGACAAATGGCCAATGTGATACAGAAATCTTAAAAAAGACTTCACCTTGTGAGAGTGAATGCTATTGAGAAGATAAGTGTAATTGCGGGCAAGGTTGATAGTCTCCGAGTTTGCATTCTTCCGGAATTCTTGCTTCACAAAGTCAATGAAATGAGACTTGTAATCTTCTTTACCAACATGTTTCACCACTGCTTTAAGAAGCTCACGATAAACTCTAGCAGCTATAACAACTTCACCACTCATCTTCTTCTTTCTTTACTTATAAACACATTTCAAAGAGAGACATAAATTTCGGGTTTTTAACTCCGAATCGAATCTGAAAATTCCAAGTTGAGAAACCTCAAAAGTTTTGTCCTTTCAAAAACCCAATTCTTTAACAACTAAATATACAAAAACTCAGACTCGATTACAACAGTGGACAAATCGAAACAAAAAGTTGGAATCGATGATTGAACGAATAATCGAGATCGAATCAGGAAAAAAAGGCGAATTGGGAACAAATGAATCCGAAGAATGGGTCTTTTCGAGTCTGTTCAATAGAAGTAAGTGAAGAAGATTACCTTGAATCTCGCCGGCACCGATCGGATAAAGTAGACTGAGAGACAAAATCCAGCGGTCAAAGAGAAGGAAGAATCAGGATGTGACGAAGATGGACTTAAATTTCTTAATGGGCTTTTGAAAGCAGCACAGGCCCATAATATGAGAGGACTTAGAAGTTAGAACCCTTTTTTTTTTTTTGTTTGGTTAAAGAACTTAGAACATTTTCAAATAACTTAACGATTTTAAACTCAAATAGTTAATTACTAATTCATATGTTGGATAAAGTTTAAAATCGTTAAGTTATTTGAAATTGTTCTGAGGGTTTTTTTTTTTTTCGTGGAATCGTGATCTCTGGTATTCTATCTATATGTCATAATAATTTGTAATAGTATAATATAAAATGATTTATTTTAAATTATATTTTGAAATCAAATAAATTTATTTTTGAGGTAATTTCTCGAAAATACCATATTTTAAAGTTAATTTTCCAAAAATGCAATCATTAATTTTCTTTTCAATAACACCACAAATAGAAAATTTCCAAAAATTGAAATATTTAATTTATTTTGGGTAAACAAGTATTTTACACAAAAATTTGTGGTACTACTCGGAAAACAAACTAGTAATGGTATTTTTAGAACTAAAACTTAAAAGGATGATATTTTAAAATATTTCTCTATTTTTTATTTTGAATTTGGTAAGTCAAATGAAACATATAACTCTTATATGTAAACAAAGTTATGGGCAGTCCGCAGTTGGAGCTAACTTCTTTCTATTTGTGTTGGTCACATGTTACTCACAGTTGATCGTATATTTGATTCCTCCTCGTTATTTTGTGTGTGTTGGATCGATTTACGCTAAATCTTATTTCACTGTAGAGGAACATCTCCTCTCAGATCGGTTTGTTGGGAATTTCTATTGCTTATTTATCGTGATTTTTGTTTATTTTGGTCTAGTGTGTAGCTATTGGTACTAAGCTTCCAAATGATTCTTGGAAAATTTTGTGCAAGCGCTTTAGTTCCTGTAATTGTTTTTCTTAGCTCCTCTGATGTGATCAGCATTAGGGAATTTGGATTCTTGGAAGCTAACAAAATTCTTAGGATTAAAGTTAGTATGGTTTGAGATTTTGAGTTCTTGACATCTGGTCTGAGTAACTGTGGCAAGTCAATAGTTTTGTATTGGTTCTGATAGAGTGATAGGAGCTGAAAATCTCATAAATTTGAAGTTGTGTTTATGGTGTTAAAATATTTCGATTCATGATTCAGGTTTCTCTAATCAATTTACGCGTGTTGTTTGAGTTCCTTAAAACGGGCAAGTCATTTTTGTTTATTCCAGTTAGAGGTCAGTGTGGTAGAAGTACAGATTGATCATTGGATTTAGTATGATGGTTTGAGTTGTTGTAAAAAATGGGTTCCTGAGGTGTCCAGACTGTGCTAGATTCTAGTTTGTCACTCCCTTTTCCTGTGCAAAATCTTGTGCACGTCCATGTGTTAGTGAACATTACACACTTAAGGAACCATGAAAAGTCATTTGTTTTGTTGAATTCCTATCTAGTAGCAACTCATCGCTATTATTAATATCTTTTAAGTTTGTGATCAAATTTGGTGATGTAATATATTGCTCTTGAAGATTATCTGTTGATTGATTTATTAGTTCTTTTTAGTAGGCTCGCTGAATGATTTCTTTTACATGTTGTACAACTTCTAGGAGAATTGCTGTGATCATATATGCATTTCTTTTCGCTGTACAAATTAGGGTTCTAATTTTCTCTTTGGAATCGCAGAGAGAGAGCTCAAGAGAGGCAGTCTCGAGAAAATGAAAGAGGATTAGGGTTGTTTGATGCCTATATATACTCCGGTTTATTAACAACTGATCGGTTATTGACCACCGAACCGAACCAAATCAATAACCATGGGTAAAAGATTGGTTTCCAGTCTCGGTCTAAAGACTATACGGGTCCAAACTCGACGGGACAATGTCCCCAAAAAAGAATCTGACAGAGCACTAATAGTTGAGTGTCTGCCTTTGATCTCTCTTGGGTTCGAAAGAAAAACAAAACAAAACAGAAAAAACACGAGCAACAAACCACAATCGATAGCAACAATTTCACGCTTTATCAAATTATCCAAAGCGCTACAAAAACAAAACAAAGAAAACGAAAACCAAACCGTTTGTAATAATTCACTAAAATGGCTTTGGTAATTTTTATTATTCCCATCCCTTCATCGAATTGCAATGACGTTAGTTGTGCTCTTTATTTATCTCTTGTTGTATATGTCATATCAAAACATTTCAAACAACGAAAACCGTTTGGGTTGAATATACAAGAAACCAACTTTAAAATAAGGGTATACGTTAGGAAAAAGGTATTTTCATACCCGTACAATTTGCCAAGTTTCTTTTCCAGATTGTGATGTCTTTATACTGTCTTCCATTGATTTATGTGTTTTTGTGTATTCAAGATACAGCTTTTGTATTTGCCTTTCTTGGTTTCATGGAGATGAGAATCTGCATAATTGTAGCTCACTAGTCTTTTAAGTCTGTTGTTTACCCATCATTTGCTTCTGGTTTAGTATTGTATTGAGTACTCAAGATTAGAGCTTTGTTGATCCACATGAAGATATAGCCTGTTTGCATTTCATTTGTGAAAAGTACTTCAGTCCATTTGAGTTTCTATCTGATTTAGAAGATGTCTGGTGAATACTTTAACTGGGCATTATCGCTTTTTCAGGGACTGATCAAAGATGGGAAGTCAGGAGAATGTGAAACACCTCGAGGAATGCACTGTTTCCAAGTTAGTTTCTTACTTATGCATACATCAATAGTGTTTGATTGTTTGCTAATCATTAGAAAGAGTAAGGAACATATATTCAGCCTTTGTTTCTTCACTGTGATATCAATTTTTTTGACTTAGAAATTTTAGTTTTATCAGTGTATCATTAGTTATGTAGCCAGTCTTAGTTGTTTTCACTTGTTCACACAATCATGCTTATCCACTACATTGCTTTTGATTTGGAAAAAGAAGTAACCTTAGCATCTAACGTTGGTATTGGTATCTAGTATCTTATGGTTGTTGTTCTTGACGTTGGAACATTCTAGAGTGTTGAAAAATTCAATTCTTCTGGTGTGTTAAATGTTTGTTTCTTACCTATGTCTTTGATCTATGAATCATATTTTTGTCATTGAGTCGTCAGTTATGTAGCCCACTCTATTTTCACTTGGTCATACCATCATGCTTAACCACTACATTGCTTTGATTTGTTCAAGGAAGTAACCTTAGAACCCAACATTGGCATCTAGTATCTTCTAATGTTAAACACAGTGTGATTGTTGTTCTCGAAGTTGAAACATCCTAAAGTGTAAAAGTTTCGATTTTTTGTGTGGGTGCAGTGCATTAGGAACATGGGTATTCTCAGTCCTAGGCGCATTGGTTGCAATCCCGGTAGGCATCAAGCGCAAGTCTCTAGGTCCACTCGTGTTCTTTGGCACAACGGGAACAATGCTCGACATCATCATTGGTGTAAGTCAATGTGAGAGAGAGCACGCAGAGCACCAAATGAAGTTACTCCAAGACTCTCAAAATGCCACAACAACAACCAACACAGAGACTGAGGATAACTCTTCCATGACCTAATCTTTTTACATTTTTCTCAATAAGACTTTGATGTACTTTGTTGCCACTCACAAGTTAAACTTGTTTCAAGATATTGTGATTTTGCAACCTAAAGCTGATCATCTACATTGTCATCTCCACCAACAAATTAAGAGATAGTCTTGTAGATGATGGTGATGACAATGGTCTTTTGATCATCTATTATTAATATCTTTTAAGTTTGTGATCAAATTTGGTGATGTAATATATTGCTCTTGAAGATTATCTGTTGATTGATTTATTAGTTCTTTTTAGTAGGCTCGCTGAATGATTTCTTTTACATGTTGTACAACTTCTAGGAGAATTGCTGTGATCATATATGCAATTCTTTTCGCTGTACAAATTAGGGGTTTTAGCAATAAACTAAGATAACTAAGCTAACTAACCTATTGAAGAGGTTAAACAAGAAGAAATGGAACAAGAAAATCGATTTGAAAAATTAGGGGTTTTTTACTTTGAAATCGAACAATCACTAGAAGAGCTTAAATCAATCGAAATTTAACTATCATATGAGAAAAAAAAAATAGCTTACCTGTCGGATTAGGAATTGAAGTCGCAAGACAAAGGTTCTTCTCTTGGATACGATTGAGAGAAACTGACAAGTAGAAGACGATGATGGAGAAGAGACGTGATGATGAAGAGTGATTCGGTGATGGGTTTATCTCGGATCGAAGGGTTCTAATTTTCTCTTTGGAATCGCAGAGAGAGAGGCAGTCTCGAGAAAATGAAAGAGGATTAGGGTTGTTTGATGCCTATATATACTCCGGTTTATTAACAACTGATCGGTTATTGACCACCGAACCGAACCAAATCAATAACCATGGGTAAAAGATTGGTTTCCAGTCTCGGTCTAAAGACTATACGGGTCCAAACTCGACGGGACAATGTCCCCAAAAAAGAATCTGACAGAGCACTAATAGTTGAGTGTCTGCCTTTGATCTCTCCTGGGTTCGAAAGAAAAACAAAACAAAACAGAAAAAACACGAGCAACAAACCACAATCGATAGCAACAATTTCACGCTTTATCAGATTATCCAAAGCGCTACAAAAACAAAACAAAGAAAACGAAAACCAAACCGTTTGTAATAATTCACTGAAATGGCTTTGGTAATTTTAAAACCAAACGAATTGCGACTCTGCGTTTCAAAGTCACATTTGCTTCAAAAATATGCCATGTGAAAGCTTAAAAGGTATTTGCTTTTTGGTCGCTCTCACTCCGAAAAAAGGAAAGTAAATTAGCAGCTTTAAATTGCTTTAAGATTAAGATTCCGATAAATATAATCTAGTTTTTTAATAAAGAAATAAAATAGACAAATCATAATAATAAGAAATTTTATTGATATTCGAATCGAATGAGTCAAATTCAACAACGATACATCAAACATAACCAATATAAAATCAGCTACTCAAAGAGACACAAACAAGATCAGACTTAAACATCAATTAGTTGATTTTAAAACATAAAAAGCAAAGAAGAAACTTCTTAAAAGAGAAACCCAAAGGCCATCACCGCCACGGAGGCAAAGAAAGTAGGGATAAATGAGGAAGCATCGGAGGTAGGGCTCGGCGCGGGAGCGTCAACCACTGCAACCGTCTGTTGAACGGTAGAGAACGCTATCATTGCCACCAAAACCGTCACGAAAAGCTTCATCTTCATTGCCTCCATTGTTAGTATTGTTTTGGAATTGAGACTTGGAGAGAGCAAATGAAGAGAAGAAAAGAGGTTTTGGTGCCTATCGTTGTTTTTTATGCGTGTCTTGTGAATTACATTTGTTAGTGTTTATATACACGAGTACGCATGTAAGGCCAAGTGTGTACATGTCACTTTACACCAACGCATTGAATAATTTAATTTTAACGATGTTAATATTTTTATTATATATCCCACTAAAAATTTAATTTAATCGTTAGAATGTTATATAATAAATATGTTATGTTGTACTATGGAATTGATCTATGACACGTAAGGTTTTAGTTCATCAACCATGTAAATAAATAGTTGCAAAAAGAAAGAAATAGTTGGAAAGAACACTGCGCACTATTTTGGACGGTATAATTGTTTATCAATTACGGCAAACTAAATTTTGTTTGTTAATGGATTCATCAAACTTTTGCGAGAAGATGAAGTCGAACTCCCATACTCAAAAATCTGTAAATGTGATATTCTCATTTGTTATAGCATATCCAAGTATATATATGCACTAATCTTCTACAATCATCATAGTGTAATTTCAATTTCAAAATAATCATAAACAAACAGGTATACTATTATTGTTTACTATTTTAAGAGTTAGGTTTCATATTTTCCAATGTGCTCATTCAATGAATGTTTGTTTTCTTTCTCCAAATGATCTTCTTTCCTCTCTTGGTACACTTCATCTGTATGAGATTTGTCCATAATAAAAATGATTAACAAATTTAATTTGGTGTGTGAAATGAGTAGATATGAGAGATGCAATGAGCTGTTTTAGTTGTTTCTTATAGGTAAAGAAGATGGAAATTGGATTATGGTTCCATGTGCTCCAAGTAACATGATTTGGCCTAACCCATTTTCCCCCGAATTATTGTTCTCTTTTCTTTCTCTATTATTTTCTCATTTTTAATTTCGTTATTAGTGAATTGATACTCGATTTGGCGTATCAATTTTTCGGCGTATCAATATTTAACTCCAACATTATTATCAGCTTATATATTTGATACTTATAAAATTTAACAGCTTAATAATGATTATTTAAATTTATTTATGATAAACAAATTTTTTGACATCCATCATCATTATTCATTACCCACTTAAAGTTGAAATGACATTTCACTGATTAACAGGATAATTAGGTGGTACAATGAATCAAACCTCCATCATAAGCAAAAGGCAACAAAGGAAATACTCTAACTCAACCCAAAGGTCCTTAACCGTCTTATCTCACCAAAAAAAAACTAAAGACAAACTTGTTCACTTCCAACTCAAGTAACAAATCAAAACCTTAAACCCCAAAACCAAAACTAAAAACCTAATCAAAACCTATAAACCCAAAAAAAAAAAAACAGTGTCCAGGTAAACACAGATAGTAAAGTGTAAGGAAAAATCAACTAAAACGATATTTTCACACTTCACATAATAATGAAAAATCCAGCACAAGTGTTCCTCTACATCTTCAATCATCTTCTTTCTTTTGTTCATCTTCTACTGACAATTAGGGTTTCTTCCAGGACCTCCATAGTAGAAATAATGTCCCCAATCTTCATTCTTACCAACCTCAACATCATAGCAATTCGATTTCTCAGTGAAAGTGTTGAGACCTTTTGGTTCTTTCAGATTGTTAGAGCTATCAACGACTTGAATGTTCCTGAAGTAACTCGCTTTCGTGAACCCTTCATCAGGAAATTGACCGCTTCCCATTTGTGTGGTTGTGTGGTGACCATCTTCTTCCATGTTCACTACTTCTCCACCCCATTCTACTATTGATGCACTATCAGCTAAGTATGAGAATAGAAAGCTTGGCCAGTATCCCAACACATACCCGTCCCCAAACTGCATCCACCAGTGACCTTCTTTAGGATCCTACAAAAAAAATGTTCCGGAGTTATCGGATTTTATTCATCAGATACACTAACAGATCCATAAAGATAACATCATTGAGGACAAAATGGTGCTATGTTAAAGAATTTCATGAAAAAGGTGGTTCTTGAGAGAAGCTCGAGAAATGGAAACCAGGTTGATTCATCAGACACAATCATTGATCCATAAAGTTTGCAGTTCTGAGGTAAAAAGATGAGATTTTGAAGAATGCCCTGACAAGAAATGGTACTTTGAGAGGAGCTCTAACAAATAAAAACTGGTTTTTACCTTCCAAATGGTGATACTAATATCATATTGTGGGTTATGGAAGCCAGATACAGGAGAAATACTGGCTCCCATTGCTATTTGACTGTTGATTTGTATAAAACCCGAACAAAGGAGATTGTAGCAGCCAGTAGCTTGATAAGCATCGCTCTGTTTTGTTCCAAGAAGACATATCCATACAAAATATGTTAGCTCAAAAGGCATACTATACTCTCAGTGAAGAAAGATTTTCAGTTTTTTTCTGAGCTTACCGTCCAGTATGTGAAAAGCCTTGTGTTGTTATCGCCATATAAATCTGGACTAACCTGAATCGATATATATGTCAGTGAAGCTAAGAACACAAGTGTAATTGAGATTAAGCTAAAATGTTATGACATTATATAGGTGCTTACCTGCCAACCAGCTTCAATGCTGTTGAGATCTTGACCAAAAGAACCTCCAAGAATCCATAACTGAGATAAGCTGAACTCATTAGAGTTTTGCACTTTGGGTTCCCATACATTTATTGTCGCCTTGGCCCCGTAAAACTTGCCTCCTTCCACATATGCTATGGCGTGCTAGATCCCCAACAAATACCACATCAAAAGCACACACAAAAGAGAACTCTTTTAGATCAAGAACTCACACAACACATCGTTATATAGGTAAAGATCACTAAAATCTACCTGATGACCACTTTGGTTGATTAGATCAGGATCAGCAGATCGGGGCAGAGGAACAGAACGGTGCTTCTTCCTCCCATAACGTTTAACAGAACTCGCCCTCAAGACATCCTCTTTCTTTGTTCTCCTCACTGGTATTGTCCCTTCAGAACACACTCCGTTCTGGTGCCATAACTGAGTTATTGGATTGACTCTCTCTTTTGGTTTCTCAGACACTTTGTTCTCATCAAACAACGATTCTGGAGAGTAACTAGGTTTCATCTGTTTAAAAACACACAATATGTTAAGACATAAGCACAATGAGTGTGAATGTGAGGCAAATGCTGAAATTTTTTACCTGAATCTTGTGATCTTTGAGGAAAGGATGATCAAAAGCTGGTTGCTTAGATATATGAACACAGTCTATTATGTCACCATCTGGACTCTGTACACACAACACAAGAGAAAATTGTAAATCAATCTGGAGTTAAAAAATTTCACATAGTAATCACAAGTTTCAAACTTTCCTACATTTTCTTACTAAAGGACTAAAGCCAACAATTAGGGCTTTTATGTAATCATCTCCACACTCATAAAAACTGTATTACTGAATCAATTAAGTTTGGTAGCAAACAAATACACAAAGACAAAAATTGAAAATGGAGATTAAGAGGAAAAAGATTCAAGAACCTGAATGCTCTTAACGGCTGGTTTATTCAATCGATTCAAGTGTTTATGCACTTCAAGATTCTGCTTTGAAACACTGAGTCTCCCTGCGCATGTTAGAGAGAGCAGTCCCCAAAAGCAGAACCAAAACAGAAACCCTCTGAAAACCCTCTCCTTACTAAACTGCGCTGCAGCACCCATCTTGAGTCTAAAGCCAAGAAGAAGAGACAGAGAGAGAGTGTGTGAGAAAGGAAGAAGCTTTTGGGTAATGCTTCTCACTTATCTAACGAGAAAGGCTTTATTTGGTGTGAAGTGTTGAAAAAGCTAACACCTTTATAATTATCTTCTTCTTCTTCTTCTACTAGTAGTAGTAGAGAGCTCTAACTCTGTAACCCACCACCACTAACACCAGTGATTCTGCAGTGACATTTGAAGTAGGTCTCTCTCCTTTGATGATGAAAAGTCTCCACTTTTTTTGTCACTCTCTCTCTCTTTTTTTCTTGTCACATATTCTCTCTCTCTACTTTTAATTATCACTAAATAAACATTTTCTGGGTAATTAAAAGACAACTAATGAGTAAATGACCAACCTTTTTAATTTATGTAACTGCACCCAAAAAAAAATACGAATAAGAAACCGTCGATAAAATGATTATTCGAAAACCCTTTTTTGTAAAAAAAAAGTGTCAGCCTTGGCTTGATTAATAATGATTTTTTGAGGTAATGGGTATTCAAATGATTATTTCATAATAATTCTTCCAGATTTTCTTAAAAAGAAATGGGTGAATAAAATGAATCATTAAGGAAAAAAATGGCTTTATTTAACTAAAAAATGCGTAACAACATAGCAACTTTTTATAATTAGGGAATATTGCAAAATCTACCACATTTCAACAATTGGCATTCAAAATCTACCACAATCTCAAAAAATTTTCAAAATCTACCATATTTCAATAGCACATGTGGAATGCTGGACCAAAATACCCCTGATTGGGACAGAGTCTGTGTCAGGGACAGAGTCTGTGTCAGAGACAGAGACAGTTTTGTCTGGCGCTTCCAAAGAAGGAGCAGGTCTGCAATAAATGCTGCACGGTTATTTAAATAATATGTTATATCAGGGACAAATTCAGATCTAATGAGTAATATAATTAGATCATGGACAAATTCAGATCGAATGGGTGATATAATTAGATCGAGGACAAGTTCAGATCGAATGGGTAATAGAATTAGATCGGGGACAAGTTCATATCGAATGAGTAATAGAATTAGATCGGGGACAAGTTCATATCGAATTCAGATATAATGGGTAATAGAATTAGATCGGAGACAAGTTCAGATCGAATGAGTAAGAGAATCAGATCGAATATGTTACATCGGGGACAAGTTCAGATCGAATGAGTAAGAGAATTAGATCGGGGACAAATTCAGATCGAATGGGTAATAGATATAGATCGAGGACAAGTTCAGAGCGAATGGGTAATAGAATTAGATCGGGGACAAGTTCAGATCGAATGAGTAATAGAATTAGATCGGGGACAAGTTCAGATCGAATGAGTAATAGAATTAGATCGGGGACAAGTTCATATCGAATGAGTAATAGAATGAGTAATAGTACTCGGGGACAACTGGATCTTTTTGTTATTTTGCAATAGAAGGAAAAAAAATTCAATAATCAGGGTAGGTGAAGACAATAATGCTCAACTAATCTGTGGACCAAAATAGATGGTGAAAAATCTAAATAAAATTCGAAACCCTTAAATGAGAACAATTGGTGGACAAGATGTGGAATTCATGATAATAGAGCAAGATGATGAAATCGGGGACAAGATCTAGGCGCAACAGAGAATTTCCAATCGGGGACAAGATCTAGAGACAAAAACGAAAGTTAATTGTTTAGTCTCAGGAGATATAATGTTTCTTGGTTAAAGTGCACGTGTTTCGAGGGAGAGAGAGATAAATAGAGAAGCTAATGTTGTAGGGAAGATAACTAGGGAAGAGAGATAAATAGGGAGGAGAAATAATTAGGGAGAAAGATAAAAAGGAAGATAAAAAGAGAGGGCAAAATGGTAACTCTACATCAAAATGTGGTATGAGTTGAAAGAAGGGAAGGAATGTGGTAGATTTTGAAAGAAATTGGGAATAAGTGGTAGATTTTGTAGTTTTTTCTTATAATTAATCTTACAAAATAGTTGAAATAACAAAACATCTAAAAAAAACATAATCTAAAAATAAGATTCGAGTGGAGCCCATGAGTCATGGCGAGATTGTCGATGCAACTTCTCGTGAAAATTTCACGAGCCTCCGCTCCAAAGAGCGACTAACCAACAAGATGCATAAGATTCCGGTTTTACCCCTTTCTATTTTATTTTTACTATATGAAATGGTCCTTGCATTATATTGCATCTAACTAGATAATACAGTATCACTCAATTTTGGTAATTTAGTGGACCTTATTACTAACGATGGGGAAACATGATGTTTTCGAAAATTAAATATTTGCGTACTTTTCAAGCATATATTCCTCTTTATGTTATTGTTTCTTTCTGTTAAATTTATAATTTTGAAAACGAATAAATTCTGAAAACATCGTATCGAACGATGTTATTAAATTAAAAGATAAAGAAACGAGAACAAAGGTCTCTGCAAAAAGTATCCACTTTATCAGTAGTCTTTTTTAAAAAATATTGTTTTTGAGTTTTGACCCATCATACTACTGGTCGAATAGCTTATTGCTTTTTGTTAGCTACACAGATTATTAAACAACTAATACTTAGCTTTTGTTTATCACCTATAGTTAAGAATTAAGATGGATGTTCCAAATACTCTAGTATGTTAAAATGACAAAGAAATAAGTAAATATAAAGCAGCTTATACGTAAAAGTTATTTGATCATTAATAGTGTGGTTGGGTCATAAAATTATACTACTAATAAACTAGGTAATGGTACTTCAATGATCATCGTTTTTATTTAGTCTAGGTTAAGAATCAATGTTCTTTGAACACCTTTTTTACCACAACAAAACATGGAATCATCTTTTGTAGTGGTGTAATTTGAGAGGTAAATGAAAATAGATATTATTACATACTACGAGAGTTGCCTCGTAATGATAATGTTTGTCTTTTGTTTGGTTACAAATAGTTTCAATCAATGGAGTAGTAAGTAAAATAGTGTTATGATAGGGAAGCAGACACAAGATTCTGTCTCCCGATGAAGCTGTTGGTCTTCTTTCTTCTGTTTCGGGTTGCTCGCCGTTAAAAGGGAAATGGTATCGCCGTTTATATTTTGACGGCGTTTATCTGGTTACGATCGATGACACGTGTACGGTGCGTAGCGTCTATATTATCGATGAAGGTCAGGTAAAAGACGGAAGAAAGATCTAACGAACGGTGGGGAATCCAATGAGTCAGTCAAACTGTGTGTAGCAGAGAGCATCATTATGAGATTCCCACAAAAAAAGAGATTTTTACTTGGTAAATAAATAAATCAAGTGGAGTAATATGCAATTTTAAGTCTTTTTTATTTATCTTTCAAAGTTTGAAACCAAAAAATTAATCAATTTAAATGCTAAAACTCTAGTTGACAACGAAATGCTAGAACTTTATATTGTATTTTCTTGTAAAAGTCAACAGTAAATTTAATAGTATGAAGAACAAGATTTATGAGATGTAACTAAAATCTTAATACTTTTTTGGTTAGATAGCTTTGAGTAGGTTAGGTAGTAGAAAAGATGAGCTTTTTTCATGTTTCTTTCTGATTATTAAAGAAATAAAGTCTAACTAATTTGGCCATCATCCTCGACTCCTCGTTAATCACCACCCTTGTCTTTTCTACTTTTTTAATTTGTATAATTATTACTAGTAAAAGTTTATAACGTGCGTGCACTAAACAAACAAGTGATTAATTAACGCAAATTACCATCAAACGGTTCAGTCTCTTTAGATAATCCCCTCAATGCTAATCAGACCGTTGGTTACACCAGGTTTCTTAAAAAGACTTGCCGTTTTTTTGTTTCATTATAAATAAACACATAACTTTGAGGCAATTTTGGAAATTGTCTACATGGCACATATTCTTTTCACATTTTTTGTCCTCGACTATTTTGGACAAATGTCCAAGTGGATACTGAGAACAGTAATATAATAATATTATAAGGGAAAGTAAAAAAAACCAGTCAGTCCAAACTGTCTAGCATGACTGGCTCCATATCTATAAGTGCAGTGTTCTTACATCAGATAGATTTTGTGGATCTTTTTTGAGGATTTATCAAAATTTCGTGATTCGTCATTGTGGAATCTTAAAGATGTTATGTGTTTTCATCATTTCATGAGTAAAGTTTTCGTAAGCACGAGAGCTTCTGAAGAAATGCACATGTAGACTACGTAGTTTAGATTGTGTTGCGGTAATTAGGATCCGTATAATTGGACCCCATTTGCAGAGACCTGGCCTGCTGGGCTAAATTTGATTCGTTCTTTGTAATCACTTTGGGCTTTTCCATTCTTTATCGGGCTGGCCCAAATTATATTCATTTTCCGTTACCACTTCGAGCTATGAAACATATATAAACATGATTTAGTTAGCTATGAAACTCACAATAAAATTTCCCGGTTTGTGTTAATTGATATATAATTGGTCTTAGATAATTTAAGTAATGAAACATTAGCTTCCACATAGACAATTGAGAACATCTATTTCTGTGAAACAAAAACGAATTCTAAAAAACACCTTAATTAAAGAAAATAAAGGATTATATATTAAGAGTCAAATATTAAATCCTCTAAAGATTTAAAACTTTTACAGTTTAGTACAAAGAGATTTCCTCCAGATGAATGACTACAAAATCTTGAATTGGATTCCATAAAACTTCTCCAACCTGCAGGAAGAAGACCAGCAAGAAGTAAATCAGTAGGAGATCTCAAACTTTGTTGTCTGATCTTTGACAAGGACACATCATCATCATCATCATCATCATAATTCATACATATGCAAAAAAAAGGTTTGAGACTTTTACTAGAAAATCAGCCCAAATGAAATTCAATTCCAAATAACACACACACTAAAGAGAGTTCAGAGAATTGATAAATGTACCTTGCCTTATCCGGAGATCACTCGTCATTTCGGTAGAGCAACATATAATTCACAGCAAACTATCCACAGTATTGCAACACATGATCTTGTAAAATCACACAAGAAGAAGAAAGTCCTTGAACTTGATCATCCACAACAGTTTCTATTAGATAAAGAGATAAAGGAAAGGATTATTTCTCATTAATCTGATAATGTGCTGTACCAAGAGTATTTATACTATACATAATTACAGCTGTATATACTAAATAACTATATACAATTATATGCTTAATAGTTTCTGATAACATGAAAGTATGCTTACCATAGACCACATCTAAGGATTATGCCCTGTAACCTTATAGGTCCTTCACGAATACAATTTATTGACAAAAGACTGAAATTCTAGCTAAATTTCATTATGATGAGCTCCAAATCCTTAATCTACACCCTCCTACTCGCAATCATATATCTCCTAATTCCAAGTCCTTGATCTCCACCCTCCTAATTCCACTAACTAAACATTCCTAGGTCAAATCGATCTTCCGAAAAACAGAATAAACTCGAATTGCTAGATAATATGGACAAGTAATAGATCAAAGCAAGCTCCTTTGACTCCTCAAGATGATGAAACCTAAAACTATATATGCATCACCAAATGTTCAATATCTTCTCTGATTCTATAAGCAATGATTAAAAAACCACACTTTGATTATATCCAACAATCCCAAGAAATGAAACCCAATAATCAAAACAAGAACTTTCTCTATACAAAAACAGGAAAAGTAAAAACTTTACAATAAACAACAAAAATCGAAACTTTGGTCACTCCAAATGAAGATGATAGTAATTATGATGATGAGTAACATTCGAAGAAGACGAAGATGATCCATAACCATCATCGTCATCATCACGACGACCATCAAAATATAAAATCTCTGGAGGTGGAACACAGATATAGTTCCAGAACCACAAAACGAATCGACCCAATTGCTGTAGCGGAAAACAACAAACGAGTTGCAACATCTCTCCGCTGCTGATTCGATCCGATTGTGGAATCAAGCGAAATCGCTGAAAAATCTCCGCCGATAAATGAGCTACGGACACCACCGTGTCGCCACGGAACACCATGTCTCTGCTGCAGAATCGTCTTATCTCAACAAAAATGGATTATTTTTTCTTCTTCTTTGTCTTTCACAATCATTTGTCTCTGTGTGTGTGTGACAGACTGTGTGTAAAGGTGGGATTTTTTCATTTCACATGATTCGGTTCGGTCCTAAAGATCAGATTTTTGAACCGATTCGATTTAAATCCAAGTGAAAAATACGAACCAACTTGGTTTAGAAATGTTTAACCGAATAAAATAAAAGTTAATGGTTGAATTTCTTTAAATGATATATTTGATGAATAATCGATTTAAAACAAATAAAATTGTATCAAACCGATTTATAATAAATTTCATTTACTGTAGTTATTATTCTTTTTTACAGTAAAACCAAAAACCAAAAACATATATAGTTGTGTTGTCATCGTCGTATTACTAATTTACCATATAGATTCAAACACACAAAAATTCTTGACAAAGAATAAAATAAACCAATTTGGTAATAGAGTTATTTATTCTATCTACTAAAGTCCACAATCAATTGTAGAAAAAAAAATTGTAGAAACATAAAACCAAAAAAAAAGCCTGTTTTTAGTCTAATTTGTTTTAAAAAATCCGTTATATATTTGGTTAAAAATCGGATACAAATTAGAAATTAAACCATATCAAACCGATTTATGCTTAATTTTATTACATTGTACCGCCTATCATTGATAAACCGAACGGTTTAAGACCGAACCACACCAAACCATGACTAGACACTCGTAGTTAAAAAGAAACTTTGGCTCATCCTCTTGATATAGACAGGTGTCTTAATCATCATAAGATGTGGGGGGTTTCAATATTTTAACACTTTATTGTATTTTCTAGACACAATCAGTATCATCTTGTTAGACACGATCGTTACACTTTTATTTATTCTAAAAATATTGAATTTCATCGGTCCAACACGTATGAGAAGCCAATACTATCTCATTTGAATCTTGACCATCCATTTTTCTATTCAAAAAAAAACCCATTTACTTCTGTCACAAGAAACTTAACTCTAAGTTTGATGATTTTTTTATATATTATAAGATCTGATCTTTCAAATTGTACAAAGAAAGAAGTAAACAGAGGAATTGTAGATTTAGATTAAAGCCATTCTTTGAATCTTTGAAACCAAAAACCTGCGAATTATGCTCTTATTACATTACATGTACAAGGTAACTTTACCAACAACAAACACCAACATTTGCTACAAATCTGCAATTGTCAAGGAAAAAAGAAAACAAATTAACGGTCAAATCGAGAGAAAGATTAAAGAGAGAAAGCAAAGTTTTGAGTTTTGAGTTTTTTACCTGCCGATTTACTTCTTCGAGCTAAGTGCGGAGAGGACTTTTTTACCGTAAGGATTGGTACGAAGAGATGAGATATGCAGTTTAATGGCATCAACCAAAAGAGCATGAACATTCCCCTGCAACAAAATGATCTTTTAGGGACTTTGATTCTCTATGGACTCAATCTGAATCCACCAGCAAATGTGTTTTTAGTTTACCTTAGATTGTTTAAGAGCTGCTTGAATGACATAATTTCCATAAGGATCCAACATAACTTGATCAAGACGACCATAGTTAATCAATTCTCTGATGATGCGAGCTCGGTGTTTGTCATCAGCTAGTTTCAGACACTTTTCAACTACATTGCTGCTACATTTCTGCATCGATAACTCGGTGTAGTTTCCTTCTAATTGCTCGAGGATTTCGAAGGTTGCCCATTGAAGTTGAAGCTCAAAGACATATTGAAGAACATAGTTCCTGCAAAAAAAGTTTGCATCTTTTCTCCATTATTACAATAATTAGATTAAAAAGCTGAAAGAGAGTTAGAAAGGCATCACAAAGAGTACCCAAAAGGGTCTTGAGAGAGGAGTAGAGCATTTGACGCAATTTCAGAGACTAAGTGTTGCTTTTGTTCGCCTTCGGAATAGCCAAGACATTTTTGAAGTACACAACATCCATGTCGATCAGTTGCAAGGTCAACACAATGAGTAATGGCAGCTTCGAAAAGGAACTGAAAAGAAAACAAAATACTGATCTTTAATGATGGAAACCCATTTTCCTAACATTTATGTTTTATGAAAACGGTAACGAAAGTTGTTACCTTGCCGCAGTGAGGTAACAGATACTGCAAGCATCGTTGAACAACGTGATTACCGTTTACATTCTTTATCAAATTCACAATGCCATGCTTCAAAGCAGAAATGATGATTGAAATCTCCTCTTCTCTCTTAGCCGTTTCAACGATCTTTTGAACCGCTCTAGTCCTGTTTAAAATGACAATATCAAGTCAGGTAAAGATCACAACACACAGATTTATATATCCAAAGAAAACTTTTACGGTTTTACCCGTGCATATCACAAGAGATTTTGATAAGCAGTCCTGGTTTTCTAGTTATGGAATGAACAATCTGCATTCTCTGATCCTCGTTGCATACTTCGAGCAGCTTTTGAACCAAATAATTCCCAAAAGGATCTATCATAAGCTCACTGATATAGTCAATGATCTCATCAAAGATCATCTCTATATCATTCCCATCTTTCTCAGCAAATATCCTCTGCAAGAAGCGACAACCATGCTGATCCTTTGCCAAGTAGTATATCTTCCCTCTTGCCTCTGCAAGAGAGTTATACTTTTGAGGCTGCAATGACAGATTGTTGAGGCTCATTGTGAGATGATCTTCATTGAGTTGATTCTGCAACCAAAGTCTTCCATTTTGTGAATCATCTCCAGCACCATACTTTATGACTTTAGCAGTGTTCAAATCGAGCTGTGATCTCATCAAAATCTTCTCCGGATAACACATTTTCCTCACCCCATCCATGTTCCTCACACTTTCATTATCATCTTCTCCATTCCAAAACAAGTTTCTGTTAGACTGTTCAGCTCGGCGATAATCGAAATGCTCCTGTCTTGGAACAGTATCCATGCCCGGATTATTATTATAAAGATGAAGGAAATGAGGGTTCATAGACAAATACTGTTCTTCTTGCAGTTTAAGCCTCTGAAAATTTTCCTCTTCCATATTCCTCCAATTCATAGGAGATTGATAGTGAGACAGAGACTGCGAATGTGGCAGGTAATGCTGCGGCTGAGCAGGTGAGATCCCGGAAGAGAAGTTTGGAAAGCATCCAACTTGTTGCAGCTTCCTAAACATTAGCGGATCAAGTTTTCTTGAATCAAACTTGTCATATACACAAGGTGAGCTACTTGGTGAGTGGTAAGTAGGATTAATGAACAAAGGATGGGGAGATTCAGGAGCTTGGTTTGGGATTCCAAAGTGTAAGTTAGCATCAGCAAATGAAGTGGTAAAAGCGCGGTCATCAGGAAGATATTGTCCTTCGAAATGATCCATCTTCTTGATGGACTGTGATGATCTGCTTGAGCTCAAACATATAGGGAAATGGTTATAGTCGTTTCCTGAAGTAACTTTTGGAATCTCTCCAAGAAGCTTCTCAAATTCATCTAGCTCATTTCCTCTTCTCTGATCCATCTGAGTAGAGAAAAATGCAAACTTTCACCTCCAAAACTGTGATAGACCAATGATTTTACTCTTGACAACTGCAACAAAGCAACAACACTAAAAGCTTAAAACAGATAAAAGATCTTAGTGTCACAAGTTGTTGTTCTTATTCTTATTCTACAATCATTGGTAGGTTTTTTCATAAGAATCCACCACTAATCAGCAACAAAACATTACTACTTGTCTCTTACTTCAAATCAAGAAAAAAAAACTCACTGCAACAAAACATAAGAACGCAGATGATTTTTTACTGTCACTATAAGCTGAATCACTCAAAACCATAGACTCAAAAACAGTCATTTACATGAACATTGTGAGATCAAACACTAACACATGAATCAATGAGTCCTAAACACAAACACAGAGCCAAACCAAAGCGATCAAATTTTAGATATTCAAAGCAAAGAAACAAATTTTGGATATTTTCATCAGATCAAACTGTACGGACGATGAAAAGAGCCAGAATCTATATGGTCGTAGAGAAATAAAACAAACAAATCTTAGAGAAAGGTATGAGTTTTGAGAGAGGAAAAAAAAACCCAGTAACAATGTACGACGATCAGTGATGAAAAATCCGATCTTTATGTGTCCGATCAAATCTTCATGCTTTTTAGACGAAACCCACTAGAGAAAAAATCTCACTGACGACAATGACAGATAAATTTGTTCTGGAAGAGAGAGAAGAATACCAGTGAGGTTGAAGAAGCACCATTAACATATAAAATCACCAATCTGAAAAAGGTGATGATGATGAATGGTAGAAAAATATCTCACACACGCAAAGAGAGAAAGGGAAAAACAAAAGAAAGAAGAAGAAGAAGAAGAGATTTTAAAACCAGAAAATAAAAAGAAGACAATTTTTTTTTCCTAAAGAGGAAAATAAAACGATAGAGAGATTAATGAAAAAAATTTCCAGGGAAAATTCAGAGGAAAATGCAAAGAGAGTGCGAGAGAGAGAGATAGATATAGAGAGAGTGTTTTATATTTGGTAGGCGGCGTGAAGAAGAAGGAGAATTTTAGAGAGAGTCATATAGTTTTAGTAACAAAATTAATTGATTTGTGTTATAAAAAAAATCGGATCTTTGATTTTATTTTTCTTAATTTTAGTTATGAGAAATGGAGAATTGAATTAAATTAAATTGGAAGAAAATAGATTAAAGAAAAAAAAAAAGGTGAGAAGAAGAAGAGAAAAAAATAAAATAGGGATGCATGAAAATGGAAAGGTCTTTTATGATATTTGGTCACAAACTTAGAAGTCTCTCTCTATCTTCTTTTGGTACGTTTCTGTCCCTTTTTTTCTTTCGTTTTATTAATGCTCTCTGTTTTCTTCTATATCTCTCTCTACATTTATATTTTACGCGTAGTTTGTGTATGTATACACGTGTTTATAACGTACGTTTAGTAATTAATTGGGTTTCTAATGTGATTAATCTAGGAATTATAGCATTAATCTTTGTATTATGTATCCCCCACGATCAATACTTTTTTGTCATTCGCCAATGTTTTGGTTCGTATCTTACCATTATGGAGGATTGGAGGTGAAACAAATTTAAAACGATATATGCGTCGATTCAAGATTAAACACTTTTGCTTTATGAATTTTGTTTTCACTCTTAATGAAATCTGTAAAAAAATAAGAGTTATCGAAAGATGTGATATATAGCTTGGTAAGAAAATACTTTCTCTGTTCCTAATAGATTTTGATGTTTTTGAGTTTTTTTATTGTTTGACAAAGATTATGTTTTGTATCAACATCTTTATTACTTTCATATGCATTTAATAGAGAGAAGTATAATTAATCTTCTTAAACAAACGAAAAGATAATAAAATATGTAAAAAAATTTTTTTTTTTTAATTTGTGTGAAAAAACCTTAGAAAGAGAGAAAGTATGTGTTATCACATCTTTCAATCACTTTTTCATTATTATTGTTTTTAATTAGTTTAATATTTTTTTGTCAACAACATGCATCCATCAGATTCGATTATGATAACCAAATCTGTAAAAAAGCTAATAATGACTGAAAGACTTGAGAACTCAAAATTTTTAGCTAGTTCTTCAATTATAACCTATGCTCAGTATATAATTTTTTTTTATCAACAACATGCATTAAATATATATTTTTTTTAACAACAACATGCATTAAATATTTAGATTTGACTCAATTAAACGTGTAGAAAAATTAAGGCTCCCTAAGAGATGAGACAATTGATGTATATTTTTCTTACAAACAAAGTATTTAGACATGGCATTTATAATTTATGACAATTATTTTATAACATATCATTTTATAATTTAAACATTTTAACTTGTGTAGAATTAGTTTTTTTTTTTTGTTTGGTAATAATTATGTTATTCAGACAAATAGTTTAAACATTTCATACAATTAGTTGAAAATGAATGAGTTTTGCTAATTTGTTAATTATTCTAACTTCAATCTCCATGTAACAAAATACTTCTTTCACTCGGCTTTGTATATTGCCACCATTCAAACTATTTCTTTTCGTTTCACTTTTGAATGTCTCGATTTCGTTAAAATGACTCATAACAAATTGCTACGCACTAATAAATCAAACGTTGAAAAGAAGTTTCTAGGAAGACTACTAAATTGTTGCCTTTTACCTTAAATTCATTATCAAGTTGGAGCATCTTTATTTGTAGTGTTTCACTCTTTTGAGTAATAGTAAAGAATATAATTTTATACGAATTTGTAAGTTCGGAGAAAAATAAATAAAATCGTAAACATCTCTAAAAATAGAACAGTAAAGTCTTGAGAAAACCTTTTGTTTTTGTTAATTGCTTGAGAAAATAACTTAGGAAACTACCTGACGGATTTTTTCAAATTTTAAATTTTTTTGAATAACAATATCATGAGTAAATTCGAACTAACAACAGATTCCTTTAAAGTAGGTTAAGCTTTCTACAGATAAAAAATAAAATATAAAAATCAATCAAATCATTCAGCCGTCAAAAATCATTTTTTTATTAATATATTATTTATCTTCTTGAAGACGAAAAAAAAAAAAGAGAGCGAATAGTGACAAGCACAACTGGAACCCTAATTTGCATAGCTCACAGTCTATCAATTTATTGCAATCAAACATCTTCTCCATTGTCACGTGATCTACAAGCTTAAAACGTTCAATGCAATTCTCAGCTCAAATATCACTTGTTTTGATCTGGATAATAACACGACCGAACTATATGTTTGTCGAGCCAACCAGATTTAACTCTCATCATCAAGTCACCAGAAGTAAAAACATATAATTTACATTGAGAAATAAGTGTTTTAGATCGGACATTGAAGACTCTCGTGGTGGCTTTTGCCTCTTGAAGCTATAATAGTATGATTATAACTAAAACCAAGAGAACCGAAATGGGTTGCTCTAGGATCTACAATAGATATATCCTATAATCGTTTAATTAGAAGAAAAATATGTGGCTAGAATCGTTTAATGTCATTGCAAAAATAGTATAACTTTACTTGCAGTTTCTGAAGTATGATTAACTTTATAAATGCTCTTAAAATTGTCGAAATTTGTTTCTCATCAAATACCCTTTTGGTAGCTTGAAAAAAAAACAAAAAAGTTAGTAGTAAGGAAATTTCAAGGAAGACAACTAAGTAGCTATCTCTTGTGTAGATTCATCATCAACTTTAAAACTCTAAATTTTGGTTTACAAAAAAAAAGTTATGAACAAACCCGAAAAAACAAAAGGTTATGAAAGAGTGTGTCAGAGAGACTCATAGTTATAGTGGAACCCACTCTAAGCTTTTAAAGTAAGATTGACTTTGAAAATGTTCTTAGAAAATTTCTCTCGTCGATAAATACTTTGTATATATTGAAGAATAAACCAAAAAGTTGGAAAGAAATTACTAGGAAGATCACTTACTTTACTATCTTTCTTCAGTTTGCTGACAACTCTAAAACTCAACAAATGTGGTGTTATAAAAAGATCGATGAACGAACCAGAAATAAAGATTATGATGAGGATTCATGTAAGTATAAGCACTAGAAATAGTTGATACCAACAAATTCTCCAAATTATATATAAAAAAAAACCTATCATTAATAATAGTTTTGTTAAAATTTAGTAGTCTTTTTAAATTCTCAGCTTTACAAATGTTTACATGGTAGTCCTTTTAATGTTTAGGGAACACTTACAAGTAATAATAGACAATATACTCCACATTATGTCATAGTCTATGCGCTCAAGTAAAGAGAAATGTCGAACTAACCAAAATACTAGATTACAATTTTGACTGAGATATAGCGACTGCAACGATCAAAAATCAAGATATTGGCTATGGAAGCCACACACAAAAAAAAAACCATAATTAGTATTTTGCTTGATAGTTGCTGGCTCATGATTTCATATATATCTCCTCATTTCGTTTTAATTTGAAAGAAGGGTTATATTAATTGATATGCATAGAAGAATGAAAAATTAAAAATCTATCCCTACTTATTTTTTAATTAGTTCTCTTTCCTTTGACCCAATTAATACCCAAACCACCCTCAGTTATTTGTGAGCACTAACAAAAATAATAACAGGATAAATCATATTGTATCACGGTAACTTTAAAAGTTATATGGTTAACTTATATTTATGGTACTAAAATATTTATCATATGATTTTTATCAACTAACTTATATAATAAAATGTTTATTTATTTTAATAATTTATTTATTATCGCTAACTTATACATTAACAGATTTATTTATCATGATAATTTGTTTATCACAGTTAACTTATGCATTAGCATCGTTAACTTATGCATTAGCATCGTTAACTTATGCATTAGCATATTTATTTATCATGATAATTTGTTTATCACGGTTAACTTATGTGTTATCGTGGACGTAAAAAATAATAAAATCTCCTTCTCTTCTCGAGTACCCTCTTCTGTCGTCATTTTCCCAAATTTTATTCTTCTTCCATTGTCACCTGCAACTCCATCCCATGATCACCTCACCACTTTCTCTTCTTCTTCTCTCCTCCTTATTTCCTTTATCTTCGTCCTCTCCATCTTCATTTTAAATTACAAAACCATAATTTTCATCCTAAATTCTTCAAATTAAAAGTTTAATCCATCCCAAACTCGTGTAGATTCTCTCTATTTTTGTGAATTATTTGGTGATGATTGTATGCAGAGCCGTGACTGATGTGTAAAAAATAAGGCAATTGCCTTAGGCCACCAACAATTAAACAAATAAAAGGCCACATTTTTCCTAAATTAAGCAAATCATTGGTTTTTTATTTAGTGTTTTAGGACTTCTTTTTTGGAAAGAAAACTCAAATCATTAACATTTGTTTGTTTATTCATGAAATTTTTTAAAACTAGGCAACATTTCCTTATTTTTGTACATTAAAAAAATAAATTTCTCTCAAAAATATAATATATTAGGCCACATTTTAAAATTTTGCCTTAAGCCTCACTGGACCTTGGCACGGCACTGATTGTATGTTACATATCAAAAAGATGAATTTGATTAACCAAATGAAGAGTTAGATATAAAATCTGTTTGTGAAGAAAAAGAGGTGACGATGAAGAAAGAAGAAGATTTGGAAAGAGGAGGATTTGGAAGAAAAACAGATAATTAGGTGTGTAGAAAAATGGTAAAATGGTAAAATTATCATTCTCTCTCTTATCTACTTAATTAATAAAAAAGCATGGATAGATACTTAATATTTTGGTCTTCTGAGCATAGATACTGATATTACTCTTGAAAGAAAGAACTAAAAGAAAATGATACTAACCAAATCAAATCTATTGACCACTGCAAACTGCAAAATCATATCATTATTTCGTGAAGTTATCATATTGAAACACTTGATCATGAACCAGAGAACACGAAACCAAATTATATATATGTTTCTTCAGGTCACTGGAAAAACATATAATTTTACATTGGCTAAAAGATGTTTCATATCAGGAAATAAAGAGCTTGGTCGTGGCTTTTGCTTCCTCAGAGACTACCCTGTTCTCAATTGCTAACTTAGAAGCCGTAACCTGAAAATCGACAGAGATTTGTTGTTAAGAAAAGTTGCAGATTTCACCGATGATTCAGAGGATTCAAGAAGAATAACTAACGAGACATACCTGAATTGTCCATAGGGTTACCAGCAGGAGCTGCTGATTCAGGCTCCTTGATCTCCACAACCACACAATCAGACATCAAGAATGTCTTAGCCACAGATGAAGCATGCTCTAAGCAACATCTCACAACCTTAGATAAGAAAATCTCGGTTAGCACCAGAAACAGACGATTTCACTCTGTGAAAAAAGTACGAAACTTTGCTCACTTTGGTTGGATCAATGATTCCTGCAGCCATTAGATCTTCGTATTTGCCAGTTGCAGCGTTGTAACCGTGTTTTGGGTTGTCGCTAGAGAGAACCTGTCAACCGAAAAAAGCCATTCACTTAGTTTCTTTAGCAAAAGACTCAAACTGGCAATCTTTATAAGGAGATTGATTACCTTCTCACTGACGACGCTACCATTTACACCAGCGTTCTTGGCGATTAACTTCAGTGGGTAGCTCAATGCTTTCTTAACAATGTCAGCTCCAACCTGAAGTTAGGATGATTAGTGAATTGGCCTAATAACCCGCAAACTCATTATTCATGTTTTCTTTCTGATGTGCAACACTTCTAGACTAACCTTTTCTTCATCGTTTGCTAGAGTCTCTTTAATGGCATCCACTTTCGATGCAAGTCTTAGCAGAGTACATCCTCCTCCAACAACAATACCTTCTTCCACAGCAGCCTAATTGAAATTAAAGGTTCAACAAATTAGTCTCTACCATATGATGGAAACATTTCAAGACTCTTTGCTTAGAGATGATGTTACCTTTGTAGCATTAAGAGCATCTTCAACTCTCAATTTCTTCTCCTTAAGCTCTGTCTCAGTTTGTGCTCCAACCTAAAGAATATCATACGTTTAAATTATTCTTCTTATTACCTTCAGTTACGCTTTTTGCATCATGTGATTTGTTTCTTATTATCTCACCTGAATTACAGCAACACCGCCTGATAATTTAGCAATTCTCTCATTAAGCTTTTCCTTTTCATAGTCTTGTTCAGCAGCCTACACAAACAAAAAGACTTAATCGCCGCAAAATAAGTCCATTTTACTGGGAAATTTCAATGTTTTTTGAGATGTACCTCAATCAGATTCTTGATCTGTTCAACTCTCTTCTTCACAACTTCTTCAGTACTTCCATCACCAACTATCGTCGTAGTGTCTTTTGTGAGAACAACTTTACCAGCATTACCCAAAACTTCTGGTCCAACTTTCTCCAACTGAAGCCCAACTTCTTCCCTAATCACAGTAGCTATAAAGAGAAAAACAAACACCACAACTTTAGAAACTAAACATGTCTTTTTGAATATAGATGCAATAATGATAAGAACATTTAGTATATTGGTCTAACCTCCTGTAAGAGCAGCAATGTCATCAAGGTACTGACTTTTCCTCTCTCCAAATCCAGGAGCTTTCAAAGCAGCAACTTTAATTGTACCACGAAGCTTGTTAACAACAAGAGTCGCTAATGGCTCTTGCTCAATATCTTCAGCAATGATCAAAAGCGGGTATCCGCCTTTAATCGCATCTTCCAGAATGTTGATAATATCTCTAGCATTTGTTATTTTTTTGTCAACAAGAAACAACTACAAAAGCAAGAAGATACATCAAGATCAAGTTTAAAAACCTCGTGGTTTTTGATCAGCTATTAAGAGTTAACTAATAAACAATAATAATACCTTGCAGTTCTCGTATTCTGCAGACATTTTCTCACTGTCGGTGACAAAGTAAGGAGAGATATAACCACGATCAAATTGCATTCCTTCAACAACGTAAAGACTGTTCTCAGCACTTTTTCCTTCCTCAAGAGTGACAACACCTTTGCGACCAACTTTTGCCATTGCTTCCGCTATCATATTGCCTACTTCGTAATTGTTTCCTGCACTAACTGCTGCAACATCTGCTAGTTCACTGTCTTCGACCTGCAATCCAGACAAGAGCTATAAGATCAAGAATCCTCTCAAGCACATGAATAGACCTTATGATTAAGAATCTAATTAAGTCAACAATACCTCCTTTGACATTTTCTTCAACTCAGCAACAAGAGCCTTGGTGGTTTTCTCGATTCCTCTGGTAATCAAAACCGGATTTGCACCAGCAGCCACCACCTGCATAATTCAATTCACATCATATCACAACAACAAAACACTGTTTGTTTCAATTCACAAAGAAAGACCATAAATTACAAACCTTTACACCTTCAGCGATGAGACCTTGCGCAAGAACAACAGAAGTCGTTGTTCCATCACCAGCTAAGTCATTAGTCTTGGAAGCAGCTTGTCTCACTAGCTTAGCACCAATGTTCTCAACTGGATCCTCAAGCTCAACCTAACAAAAAACCATAACTTTTTAAATCTAAAAGGTGATTTTCACACCAGATTACACATTAAACACAAAAATTGACAACACCGTTACCTCTCTAGCGACTGTTACACCGTCATTTACGATTCTAGGGGAACCGTATTTGCTCTCTAGAACAACATTCCTGCCTTTAGGACCTAAAGTAACCCCAACTAAATCCGCAAGTTTATTCACACCAGCCTACACAATGGAATAATACGTTACTCAACAAAGAACTAGAAGTTCACAAAATCAATGAAAATCGAATAAACACATCATTGGACTTACTTGAAGCTTCTTAATCGCAGTCCCATCCTTATTGAAATGCAATTGCTTAGCCGCATAGATTTTAGGAAACCTTGCTTTCCTCTGAGCAAAAGTCTGACTCTTTCCAAAAGAGCTTGATGAGATCGAAACAAAAGATGACAATCGATTCGAAGGAGGAGCCAAAGATGAACCCATTGAAGACGTTGCGCTAAAGGTTGATGCCATAGTTTCACTCTCTGCAAAAACACATCAAAATCATTACTTTATTGCTTCAATGAATCTAAGAAACTCTAAAGACACAAATAAAAATCAAAACTTTGTAATCATCGACACAAATCAAAACAAGGGTATCTGAAAGCAAACAACTTTTAACCTAAGCTTAATCGAAATGATTGAACTTAACACTTACTTAGAAGCGATCAAGAGATGGATCAAGGGTTTTAGCGACTGCGAGAGGTTTGGTTTCTTGTGAAGAAGAAATTCGATTTATGCTATTGTAAAGTTATGATTTTTATTTAATTTATTCGATACAAAGTGTATTTGGTTGCATAGTGCAAAACGAACTGGTGAAGTTTTCTTCAAGGTTTCAGGTTAAATCTGAGCCGTTGGATCAGTTGATTTTGGAAGTATCTAGAACACTTAAACCCTAAACCCACCTACTCTACTCTCTCTTCACGTGCGAGTGAGTGAAGGTTTCTTGCAACTTTTAGATCAACATTGTTCGACACGTGTCGTTGCATTCAAAACGACTTCGTTTCGCTTGTCATATATGAACAGAGACTGCTCTGTTTTGATAACAGAGTCATATGGAATTGAGGACCAAAACATTGATTAGGTTTTAGGGACTTACAGGAGTGATCCACATGGTTTATTAGAATAAGAAATTAAATCAAATTGTTTGACCAAAAAAAAAAAATCATTAAGTAAGGTTTCAGACCATCTCCAATGTCCAACTCTATTTTTTCTTTTATTTTAGAGTTGACTCTATTTTAGAGGCATTTTGCTCCAATGTATGTCTCTAAAATAGAGTTTCCTCTAAAATAGAAAAAAATATAGAGTAGTCTTATTTTTTACTCTATATATAGAGTAATCTCTACAATTTTCCTCTATTTTAGAGCTAACTCTATTTTAAAGGCATACAATGGAGCAAAATCAACTATATTTCCTTTAAAATAGAGTATCTCTAAAATGAAGTTGGGCATTGGAGATGCTCTCAGAGGACAACAATTTATGTGGATAGAAGACATTGCTGTATTATTGGGGCATGTAGGGGTGTGATTACATCACATATAGTTACTGACTTGCTCAATATAAAAATATATGAGATATGGCTTACTATATCTAGTTGTTGACCCAAAAAAGAGCAACGTATCTAATTTTCATATATACAATTCTCTTTAGTCAATATTGTTACTAAATTCTTTATATCAAAGGATTCTAGATTGATCTACTGCCATAATAAGCAAAATGTGATCGTGTTCTCAATTCTGTATTTAATATACCGTATATATTTGTATGCATACATTAGATGCGTAAAAGTGAGAAGAAGAAATCTTTTAAAAAATCAGAATGAAAGAACAGATCTTTTACCAGTTTCTAGTCGTAATGATGTTGTTGTCATCATCTCAAATTCAGGGGGAGAGATGTGATGATATAGGCATAGAATTTCTGAGGGGATGTCCAGATATTATCGACAAGGAGCTGCCAACTCCACCAAGACCATCCCAAGATTGTTGCACTCTTATCCGAATCATCGGGATGAAATGCGTATGCGAAGTCATCAATAAGAGAATCGAAGCCGTCATTGATATGCAAAAGCTAGTCAATGTCGCCGCTGCTTGTGGTCATCCTCTTGCTCCTGGTTCACATTGCGGAAGTAAGTCCCTACCCACTTTTTTTTTGCCGGTCTAATTCGGTTTGCAATTGTTTTTGTTGGATTTACAAATTTAATAAATTCATTTCTTCATTAATTTAGTTATAAGTTTTATGTTATGGTATCTTGATTATACATTTCATTTGTTTGTGGTTTTTACGCAGGTTACCTAGTTCCCGGTGGCATGGTGAGACATCATCACGGGTAATTTGAAGACCGCCCCTATTCTCTATCTTATTGAACTTGCCTAGTTTGTATGGCTTATAGTAGAAATCAATAAATCAGATTCAATATTGCTACTTACAATATGTTTCCTTTTTTTTTGTTCAAAACGTACAATATGTTTCCAAAAACACATATTTGGAAAATCAAATTAGATTTTAAAATATTAGTGGAGAAAAATCCCTGTATGTTACAAATTTTAATTAGGTATGCAATTTACCGGTTATTAAATGTGAGAGATGGAAGGAAATGTGAGTAGGATTGTGGCGATGAGCCAAATTTGGTGGTTCAAATTAGGTCAATCCTAATCCTTAAAATAACCATAATCGTATTTGAAGCTATTGGCAAACAATTAATTTCGTAGGATTTTTATTTCATTAGTTTAGATGTCACTCTTAATTAGCGCTTACAAGAGTACAAACCCTAGCTTCTCTATAAACTTTACCTGGTCGACACATATAACCTTTGTTTGGAGCACAATGAGAATCCTCCGAACAAATACAAAGCCCTTCCAATGCACATCCTTGTTTCACAATCGTCACGTTTCCTTTTAAACCTAGAATCTGATCGGTCCATTCTGTAGAAAACAATCCGGACGGATCTAATCTATCCTTGACTTTCAAAAACGCGTTTGCGTTCTTGTACTTTCCAATGGTACCATCAAATGCTAGGTTCCTGTTTTTCCCCCAATGAGGCAACGCGTTGTATTTCAGTATCGCCATTTGCTCGATCTCTTCCATGTAATCTTCGTAGAGACGTGGTGTCAAAGGATCATCTTTGCTTCTGTAGTAAGTTAGGTCAAAGTCTAAACTTTTTTCTTCTTTCCCTAGATAAGCAGGAGAGGATGTGACATAACGGATTAGAACACCATAGTTGAGTTCAAGGCCGCAGAGAGATTTTGGTTCAATCTTCACAAGTGCTTTGATGTCGTTGATGAAATCTTTGACATGTGTGAGAGGAACACTTAATGCTGTTTGGTAGAAAAACTCGCCTCTAATGCGTGGATCCCAAGGACAAGATGTAATCAATCCGTTCCGATGACTGTCTAGACATGCACCGGACGACATCATACGATCTTGGCTTCCGATAACGGGATAGCCTGTGAATATAACACCTGCAGTGGAATTTTACACTTTTACCGTGATTGTACATAATATAAATAAAATTTCTTATATGGATACAATCAAGAGACATTACCATTATTGGTCACACCGTATGAGATGTCAAACAAAAATGATGCTAGTCGCTTTGCTCTCTCACACTTCTTGTTTGCCTCACCCGACGACTCCTCATCCTCCTCTTCATTTCATATCATGAACCAAAGTTTACATAAGAATTAAGAAATACTATAACTATATATGAGTATCTTGACAAATGAAAAAATGAACCTATGGATCTGCTGATGGCTACGGCCACAGAGAGTTGTGAACGGAATGGGAAAAAATTAAACAAGCCATTGCCTGAAACGTTGGCCGGAACTCGATCATCAATTCGATACACCACTTTGCCTTGGCTTGGTAACCATAGGAAATCCGCAAACTCATGTTTTTCTCCAAAAGTCACGGCTTGATCTCCGAAATCCGTATCATTTTTCATCTCATATGTTAACGATCTCTTGAACATCGGTTGCAGCTTGAAAGTTACCTTCCCAAGTATACGATGAACAATAGAAAACGTTAGAACTTAATAAGAGGTTTCGAGTTTCGTTATGAAAAAGGTTTTAAAATGAGCCAGGTTTTAAACCAGGTCTGTCCATTTTGGATAGATTATATGATCATCCATATCCAAATGACCCTACCTGTCTTTATATTCGGTGTAATAATTATTCGTTTAAAATTTATCATATTCGAACGAGTACATAGACGTGTTCGAAGTGGGACTGCATGTATGACTAATCTGTTTTGGATTATTCGAAATTTGGAAATTATTAAAATTTTATCTAAAGAGATGCAAAATCACTGAAAAATATCCCAAGAACGCCTAAAGAAATATATAAACGATTAGAGTAATTCATAAGTGATCTATATATTACCTGAGCGATAACACCAAGAAGGCCTAAAGAAACTTTGGCTGCATTAAATTCTTCAGGATTCATAGCCTCACTAAGAACCCAAACTTTCACATACCCTTCAGAAACCGAACCGGGACTTACAATTCTTATCTCGGTCACGTAATCATGAACCGCACTTCCTTTACCCCACAATGAACTTCCGTGAGCACCTGTCCCCATCATTCCTCCAACAGTAAGTCCCCACCAATACGGTGCGTATGGCAAAGCTAGCTCCAACTTAGCCGCTTCTTCGATCAACTGCCTTAGCGTCACGCCGCTCTCAACCGTCAGAGTCTTGGCATCCGGGTTGGTTCGCACCACGTGGTCTAGAAACTTGGTGCTTATGAGAATCCCGTCTTTGCCATCAGTGCAAACCAACTTTGGGATGCTATGAGAGTACCGAGTCACGACCCGCATTTTTTGGCCGGCTTTAGTGGCTGCAGCAACCACAGAGACCAGCTCAGCCTCGGTCTTTGGGTACTCCACCTTTGCTGCTTCACATAAAGAACGGTCGGGAAAGGCTCCGTACGAGTTCGTCACCGTGCATACTGTGTTTCCGGACTCACACTTGACAGGATCATGCGGAGGAGTTGAAGAAGCAAATGTGAAAAAACAAAAGATCAAACTTAGCCAAAAAGCCATTTCGTTAGAAACTTTTCTAAAATAATTGCAAGGGAAATGTTTTGAGCTAGCATCCTCTCATTTATATATTTCATTGAGTTTCAATATATATATCAACATCTAGTATTATTAATTAAAAATATATTAAAAGCGACCTCTAATTTGAGCTTTTGTGGTATATGATATTATGTAACAGTATAGTCACATGGTATTATTATACAGATATTAAGAGCGACATGTAATTTGATGTTTTGTGGTATATGTTATATAATATCACATTCTCAAAATAATTTCACAAAGACCAAAGAGACCAAATCATTAAATAGAATTCGGGGAACAACTTATGTGGACACTGGTCCTAGCTATATTATTAGGGCTTTTAGGGGGTAATTACATCACACAGTTACTCTTTAATTAGAAAGTGATATGATGAATTGAAGAAATTTGACTTACCATATATAGATATCTCAGCTAAGCCTTAAACAACTTTTTATATAATTATGAACCTTTTGTAGACCTCTATTAGCTATTCTGGTTTCTACGGGTTAATGAAATTAATTACATGGTTTTCTCGTTTAGCTACATACTCTGAAATTGAACTTTACCACAAATACCTCATCTAACTCTATTAGAACCTTTTGTAGACCACCCTATTCAATTATGTGGGGTTTTATGGCTAAAATAAATAAGATGGTTTCTACTTTCTACATTCTCCTTTGGCTATTCTGAAACTGATTTTTACATTTGTACCATAATTTCTCAGCTCATAACCAGTTCACACATTAGCAAATGAAAAATAAATCAAAATTATTAAGCGGAATATGGATGGCATGCATATTGATCCATATCCACATTAATGAGGCTTTTATTAGCTTACTTTCCGGGCTGTTCTGCTAGTACTAGTTTGATCCAATATTTATTAGGTTGAGCCAACAGTATTCTTAATTCTTTTGACATGGACATTATACTATGTTGTTTGTTTGGTCAGATAATTAAGCAGAATTTACTATCAACCACCACACATCAGATTATCAACAAAAAGAATCATCTAAAAATAAAATCCCATAAACAAATGATATGATCAAGTTATTTAACCACAGAGTAACAGACAGACACTCACACTCGTAAACATAACAAATTCAAAATTTAAAACCATCCTAGTGTAAAGAAACCAGCCGATCGATTAGATGTTTTAACCGATGCCGTTTAGGGATCACGAGATATTGAGTATGTGGCCCAATTAGAAGAAACTTTTTATTTTATTTTTATGATAACCAAATTAAGAACTTGATTTAAATCTGGAAGCAAGTTTAACCAAACAAACAAGTTTTACTCAACAGTCGACAGTGGAATCTTTTGTATTTCAATAGAAGAAATACAAACAAACAAAGGTTCAAAGCTTTTGCATTTCCATAGAAGAAAAAAAATTCACAAACATTTGTATCTCTCTCTTAATCTGTATCTCGTCAAAATACACATAACACAATCTAGTTTTCACTTTTCAAATTGTATATTAAAAAAAAAAATACCAAGTGATCAATTACAATGTGAATTAGCATCACCTTCAATAACCTTCTTCACCTCATCCACCTTCTTCAATTCTTCAACCTTCTTCAATTCTTCAACTTTCTTCAATCCATTCTTAGGCATTTCGTCGATAATAGTAACTACTGCTTTCTGAACAGTAGGGACTAGTAAAGCCCCCTCTTCTGTGGCCTGAAGAGGCTCCAAAGAATCAACAATATCCCGCATTAAAGGCCGAGCCTTCGGGTTCCGGTTCAGGCAATGGTAAGCTAACATTGCAGCCTTTTGAACCGCTTTAACCGGGTATTCACAGTTCATTCTTGGGTCTACAATGTTCAAGACTTTCTTCTTCTCCTTCAACAATGGAAGAGCCCAATCTATGAGGTTTTGCTCACGCGTTGGCCGTGACTTGTCTAATGATTTTCTTCCCGTTAGAAGCTCTAACAGAACTACACCGAAACTATACACATCACTCCCCGGTGTCAAATGACCTGTAAACAAGACATATAATCAGAAAGAATCCAAATACAACAAACTCATTGTTTTGTCCTTTTAGCTTTAAATAGCTAAAAATGTCAAGCTTAAAGAAGCTTAGATTTCAAAGAGCTAAAATAGATGCATAGTACTGGTACATTCTAGAAATGTGTAACTTGTGAGTTAGTAAACTGAATTTCTAACCTGTCATGATGTATTCAGGAGCTGCATAGCCATAAGTTCCCATTATGCGAGTGGAAACATGAGATTTATCTCCTACAGGACCGTCTTTAGCAAGTCCGAAGTCAGATAATTTGGCATTGTATTCCTGTCACAACAGCCATATGAAACCTCCACCACTGGACAAGAGAAGAGCTTTGATGTAATACTAATATACTACAACTACTAACCATATCTAGAAGAATGTTGGAGGTTTTGAAATCGCGATAAATGACAGGTTTCTTTGCTTCATGAAGAAAGGCAAGTCCTTTCGCAGCTCCAAAAGCAATCTTCATTCTAATTGCCCATGAAAGAGGAAGCAAAACTCCTACCAAAGGATGCACACAACTCAGAATTCCTTATTCATTCAAGAGTGATGTCCAGCAAGAAGACATATGAGTGTAAGAATACGAAAACTCACTTGAGAAAAGATTATTCTCCACGCTACCACGAGCCATGTACTCGTAAATTAGCACCCGGTGATTATCCTCACAGCAATAACCGATCAGTTTCACTAAGTTTGGATGTGAAAGCTGCCCCAAGAATATCACCTCTGCCTACAAACATCAAGACAATAGATAAGAATCTCAGGCAACTAAGGACCCGATTCGATCTCAAATCGTTATCGAAGTTAACCAAGAAAACTACTCTATTCCAGATGATCAGAGGTGTCCACATTCCTCATATCTCTCAGTGGCAATGATTTATAATCGATTGAGAAACTTGGAAGACAAGCAAAAGACAGAGAGACTAACCAGCCATTCTCTATGACCCTGAAAGCTATTATCACCGTCATGAACTTTAACCGCAACAGGAAGTGGTTGAGGAACTTGTTGATCACCCAAATCCTCTTTTATAAAACCTTTGTAAACACTTCCAAACCCACCACCACCAAGAACTCTGTCTTGTCTGAAATTATCTGTAATGTTCTTTAGCTCTTCGTACGTGAAAGCTATCAGAGGATTCGCTGCTGAATCACGTCTAAGATCTTCTACTTCTTTTGGATTTGATGGCAGCTTTTGAACTTCCTTAATATGTTTATCTTCTACTGTTGGACTCTGTTCTTTTGGTGACTCTGCAAAAGTTTCAGACAAAGAAACCAATGTTTAATAATTGGTTTAGATTCTTTGAACTTGAATTGAAGATTCTAGAGAGATGTGTAAATATGTTGTGGAATTGATTGATTTTTGAAATATTCTTCTAGGGGTCTAAAATCCAAGAACATAGAATATATAATAAAAAAATGTGACTTTGACCAAATTTAGAAGAAAACAAAAGCAGAAACCAAAAAAAGGAGACTCTATAGAACAAAGAATCACTAAGTCAAAATTCTCAACAAATGAGTCCAACCAAACTTAAACTTATAGGATATAGAGAAACGAATCTAGCTTATCCAAATAAAACCTCTATTTGAACAAATTTAGAACCCAAAAAACTAGAAAAAAATAAAAACAAGAAAGTAAGATAATTTGGTGTTAACCGACAGATATTTCCAAGTTTGCGCAAGTTTTTTAGGATATAACCCATTAGGAAATATCGGAATTTCAGGCGAAATATTTTTGCCATAAACAGTAACAGAAAATTCAAGAAGAAAAAAAAAACAAATAAAGAATAAGAAGAAGAAGAGGTAAAAACCTGATTTAGCGTTTGCAGAAACTCTGTGATTTAAGGGCTCAAATCTACACCAACAATTACCCATTACTCCCAAACAACAACACACACACACTTAAAAATAGATAGATTACTATACTTATGAGAAAGAAAAAAAAAACAAACTTTAATTGTTATCTCTGGTAAGTTACAGATTCATGCTCATAAAGAAAAACCAAGCTTTCAATTTCTGTTCTTAGAATTTTTTTTATCTCTTTTCTCTTTTACGAAGAAAGAAAAGGTAAAGAGCTGATGAAAGAGAGAGAGACTAAGGAAATGTTTGTTTCTCTTTTTAGAGAGAGAGAGAGAGAGAGAGATTCGTCGTGGGCAATGATGGGTAGAGAGTAGAGACTAGAGAGGTATGAGGTGGGAGAGAAAGAGGTCTTTGGCTATGGCGGAGATGGGCCCCACTTCTCTTTCTCCTTTTTCCACTGACAAATCAGAACAGAGACTCTTTCAGAGAAAAAAGAACAAAAACGATTAAGACATCAGTCCACTCTGGTCTGTTTTTTTTGGTCCGGTCCGGTCTTGTTACAATTCTCTCTGGTTTAGTTTCCGATTGCTTTAAACCGAATTCCAATCTCTTGTTAGGTCAACTCAGAAGTCAGAATGTAATTTCTTATAATAATTCGTTATTTGTTTATATAAAGAAAAAAATTCAACATATTTTGATTTAACTTTATAACTGAACCATGCAAATTCAAAGCCAAATTAAACCAAGAACCATTTTCTCTACCAAAAAAGTTGTTTTTATTTTCATTTTTGGGATTTTTTTTTGTTTTTTTCTGTTTAATAGTGCGCATGTATGAAGCGCATTTTCAGACCACAATTCTCTTTAGTTTTCTCGTTATTTCTATTTTTTTTTTCTTTTTTTTTTCTCGATTGCTTTCTTTTTGTCTAAGCGTGCGCCTTTGCCTTTCCCAATCCTTTCTTGTTGCTCTTTTCAATTTTTTTTGTTATCGATAAAACTGTGTGTTCACATACATTTCTCTTATATTATTGGCGTCGTTCACATTTCTCTTATTATTGGCGTCGTTCACATTTCATTTTAATCGAATACTATGTTAGTGCATAATCTCACAAAGTGGCTCAATATTTTAGTTAGTGCATAATCTCACAAAGTGGCTCAATATTTTATATCGGCTAATTTCTCCAAAAACGGATATGCTCATTAGTCATTACTTACTCACAAGTCACAAGTAGAGCTGTCGACGAACCTATTTTTCCTTCAACAAATAATAAATAAATTCCACTCCGTTATTAAAGTAAAACTTGATGCAGTAGAGCATACACAATGGGATAAGTGGGAGTGTGAGTGTGAATAATTTTTTATTATTATAATTAAAGAGAGAAAAAAGAGAGATAGAGAAAAGAGAGAGAGAGAGATAGAGAGAGATAGAGACTTTTGCAATATTTCTGTTTATTTTAATACTTACACTCACATGTAAACTTACACTCACATGTAAAGAGAGAGACAACATTTTGCAATATTTCTCTATTTTAAAATACATACACCCGACAGAAGGATCCCCCACTGCGTGTGGTGTCTGTCCAAAAAAAATATATTTAATTTTCTCTCTCTTTTTTCTAAATAGCAGTAAATTTTTTTTTTTGTAAATATGTAAGTTTAAAATTGTAGTTATTGTATTAATCTTTAGACTTGAAGGAAAAATTATTTTGTAATTACATTAAGATCATACATTTTTTCTTATAAAACAATGTTTATCTAAAAAAATAAAAATATATTACCCTGTAGAATTGGAAAATTAGTGGCTCAATTAGCATCAACTTGGATATAATTAGATGAAAATATCATATAGACACCTTACCTAACATTACTAATATATACACTTATTATCTATTAAAATATACAAACGCACAAGAATCTTCAAGATTAACGTTCCACTTAAAATCCGACCTATATTTTTTTCCTTTTATGTCATCACGCACATTTACTCTTAGTATTTCTTAAATTTTGTTACATTAATATGGAACTTATGAAAAGTGTCCCTAATAAGTAAAAAAAATTATGTTATTTTGACGTTTTTATTAATTACATGAAATCCATATATATATATATATAATCCAATAAAAATCAAAGGAAGAAATGGCGAGCTATAAATAAATGTGTGAATTTCATCAAACGTAATATATGTTGACTATGCTATTATCCTGAAAATTATTTTGTTTCGGTCGCAAATTTATTTTAGAGAAATTGTTAAAAATGCCTCTTTTTCAATACCCCTTTTCAAAAATGCCCCCTTTGAGAGTCCATTTTTAAGTTTGCCCTCTTTTAATTTTTAATGACCATTTTACACTTATTTGAAACAAAATTAGGTCCACAAAATACAAAATATTTTTTGGCGGGAAAAGTGATCCCGCAATTTTCCCGCCAAAACACTTGTAAAAAACCTTTAAAATACCTTGTAAAATTTTCCCGTAAAATTTTTCCCGCCAAAAAATTTTCCCGCCAAAAAATTTTTTTTGCGGGAAAAGTGATTCCGCAATTTTTTTTTTGGCGGGAAAATTTTTGGCGGGAAAAATTTACACGGTATTTTAAAGGTTTTTTACAAGTGTTTTGTAAGGTTTTACAATATATTTTAAAAGGTTTTACAAGGTACTTATTAGGTTTTATAAGGTATTTATAACTTGTAAAACCTTATAAAAAACTTGTAAAACCTTATAACTTGTAAAAACCTTATAAAATAGCTTGTAAAATCTTATAATATCTTGTAAATACGTTGTAAAACCTTTTAAAATACATTGTAAAACCTTATAAATACCTTGTAAAAAACCTTTAAAATACCTTGTAAATTTTTGGCGGGAAAAATTTTCCCGCCAAAAATTTAACGCCAAAAAAATTGCGGAATCAATTTTTTGCGGGAAAATTTTTTGGCGGGAAAAATTTTACGGGAAAATTTTACAAGGTATTTTAAAGGTTTTTTACAAGGTTTTACAAGTGTTTTGGCGGGAAAAATTGCGGGATCAATTTTCCCGCCAAAAAATATTTTGTATTTTGTAGACCTAATTTTGTTATATTTCCTTATATATTTGTGATATATTTTATTAAAAGAAGGGTAATTTAGTCATTTTGTACATAAAAAGGGGTATTTTTAAAAATGGACAGCCAAAGGGGGCATTTTTGAAAAGGGGTATTGAAAAAAGAGGCATTTTTGTGAGTCTCCCTTTATTTTATAAGAAAATATATTTACTGTGAATTCTTTTTATGTTAAACTTTTTCACTGTATTTTTTTCCAGATATTTAAGGTAATTCTTAATCAACATTTATGTATGTATACTTATACCAAATCACTATGTCCTTTAATATGATTGTATGTGCTGTCAACAAAAAACAAAATAGCAATATGATTGTATGTTTTGAACAAGTGAAGGTGAAGTTTATGAGGTTCTTTTACTCAAATATTATTGTATTTAAAGTTTACTCATTGAAATGCACGAAATTAAAATGTGTGTGAAAACATTCTATGAATGCTCTTTGCTTGTCGGGTTATGATGTCCTTGGTTCTCGAGAGATTGGCTCTCATCGTGATAGGAGGGGGTAGATGTTATTTCTGGTTTGGCCGTGGGCAGCCGTGATAAATCGCATTCGCTGGTGTTTCAAAAGAAGAGGTTTCTTTGTTCTCTTGGTTCTATCCTTTCTCCTAAGGTTTCTACCTTGTTGCCTCTGCTTTTAGATTATGGAGTCATCCTCCTTCGATTGTGGTTTGTTTTTATCTGCTTTGTATTTCTAGTTTCGCTTTACTTTGCTTCCCTTCGATAGGGCTTAGTTTCCGGGAAATTTCTTTTTTTCTCCGGCAGTGTCTTCGGGGACTTTTAGTTTGTCCGCCGACTTAAGTTTCCCTTGTTTGGGCATATGTATTTCTCCCCTGGTTCCACAACAAGTTTCTATAATAAAATTTCAAAGCGACAAAAAAAAAAAATGTGTGTGAAAACAATACATCAAACGTGTGCGGGTAATAATAATAAGTGGTAGAAAGTTGCTTCAACAAGAGATATAATTCCACACCCACTAGTTTGTTTCTTGGATCCCTTTTTATCTTCTTCTCCAGGTGTTAGGCTTGAAATTTATTTTCCTTTTTTTCTCATGTTTGGTTTAAATAAGCTTAAAATTTGTTGTTTATTTTCTTCCCAACTAATAGCAAAATTTCTAAATTCTTTAGGTTAGAGAAGTAAAAAAGTTTCTCTGATTCGTTGATGTAATGTTGTTGCTATAGATCATTCCACACCCACTTGTTCTTTTATCCTTTCTATTTTTCTCCCTCACTAAGAAGTCTCCTTAAGATATTGCTAAACAATATCTGTCTTAGACCATCATTAATGGTAGTCTCTTAGGAAGATCTTAGAAAAAAATCTTAGCTTAAAATAGATAAAAATAAAGCAAATATCTTAAAATTGTTAAGAATGTCTCTTAGCTAAGAGACATTTGGTGGGTTAAAAAGTGTTTCTTAGCTAAGTGTTCATCATCTAATGCTAAGAGCCAATATTAAGAGACTACCAATAATGTTGCTCTTACACTCTTTTTAAGTTAAATAAACTTTTTCTTTACATTTGAATCACGGAATGCCACTTAGGACCAAAAACCCATCCTTATATGTAAATTGATTGAGATTTGAGCATAAGAAAGAAATTAAACTATAAGTTTATTTTTAAAATACCATGATATAAAAAAAACCTAGAAATTAAAAATAGACAGAAGATGTATATCCAAATTACTTAATGGTAGATCAAGAAAGGAGTTTCTTGTCAGGTAAGAAAGAAAAACTTAACTTGCATCTTACGGTTTATGTTCTCGTATATTAAGGATTAAAAAGATGAAGATTTCCCGTGAATTTTGCATAATACCAGCCACAAATTATCAAGAAAACATTTCAGAAGTTTCAGTTGCAACCCAAAAATAAATAACAATGTGTCATTTGTTCAACCCGTAAGCCGGTGAGGCGGTGACTCTACTAAACTAGCTAGCTATGTGAACATAGTGGATTATAATATTACAACATTATGTTTTAAGATAAACTTTGAATCTTACTGAAAGAATCGCAGCTTGCATTATCAACGCTCAATATTATTATTACTGAAAATAATGAACAAAAGCTTAGAATTTCCTAGATAAAAGTAATATTATTATTTGAAGTTTCAAGCAATGGACGTCATGTTGACTTGTTGAGAGCATAGAATGTTGGGTTCGGTGGCGGCAAACAAGAATTGATCAGATAAGTCCAAATCTGAACTAGAACAATTGAATTAGTGAAGATTTTGAAACTAAGAGAAACATCCAAATTTAAAGTCTTTGACCTAAAAAACAATCTTGTTTCTTTCCCTTGTATCTAAAGTAATTCAAGAAAGGCAGGAAATTGATCACACCAAACTATTATAAAAAAAACTTTTACTGTATTGCTTTTTAAAATTTCTAATTAACTGTGCAATTTCGTTGACAAAGTTTTTAACTTTTAACCTGTTCACGACACAAATAAAAAAACTTTTAACCTGTTCAATCATAATTAATTAACTGTTCATCTGCACAGTACTCCAATATTTTTTAGTTAAAATAGATTCGCACATATTTCATTTGGGCCTTCAATATAAATTTGGGCCATAACGCTGAGCCCAATCTCTCTTTTTATTCTATGGGCTCTCTTCTCCTCGCTCTTCGTGGTTATTAAGTATTAACTTATTTGTTAGGCTTTTGCATGATTCGATGTGTGTTTGTTGATTTACTGAAACAATTCTTTAGAGATTTAGGATGCTGGAAATTTGGATCGCATAACCCCTCTGGTGTTCTTGTTGTTGTTTTTGGGAGTAATCAAATATCTTCGATTGAATCTGAAAAGGCTTCAACTTGAAAAAGGGTTAATTAGGGTTTAGATATGGACATGATTAGTAATCTGTCCGATGACTTGCTCTTGAAGATTTTGTCAGAACTTCCTACCAAATATGTAGTTGCCACAATGTTTTTGTCGAAACGATGGAAGTTTCTTTGGACGATGGTTCCAAAATTTGATTTTGATGATAATTGTGAACTCGAGCCTTCTAATTACGGGAGTTTTCTCAAGTGTGTAGACAGATCAATGGTGTTGCATAGAGCTCTGGTTCTAGAAACTTTGAAGTTTGAAGTTGGTCCTTGTTGCAGGTCTAAAGATATGATAAGGTGGATCAGAATTGGAATGGTTCGCGGTGTGCGTGAACTCGACATTCGCCACTGTAGTGATTATTTCAAGATACATAGCTCAATCAAATTACCAAAGAGTCTTTATACATATGAAACGCTCGAGGTCTTGAAGCTCGCTTACACGGTTATTTTCGATGTTCCTATCGATGTTTGTCTTCCGTCCTTGAAATCATTACACCTTGTACGTGTAGAGTACAAAACCATATCATCTCACCGTCGGCTTTTATCTGGTTGTCCTGTTCTTGAGGAGTTGGTGTTGGACAAGACTAAAAACAACACGTATCTGCGATCGTCGTTCTATGTTGAAATTCCTACCTTACAGAGATTATCTATACTTGATAGATCTGACTCAATAAACTACGACGAAGATTGGCTATATAAGATTGTGATCAATGTACCATCTCTGAAGTACTTGAACTTTGTAGATTTCTATGGTCATGACTTGTGTTTGTGTGAAAATATGCCTGAGGTGACTGAGGCAATTGTTAAAGTTGTTAATAAAAGTCCCAAGAAGCTACTGGAATCTCTTCCATCAGTCAAGAATCTCTATTTATGTTTAATTGCTTCAAAACCTTCAATGGAAATATGTTTTCAGACATTGTTTATGCAGATTCAGAACTATGTCAACACTCTCCAGGGTGGTGGGATCTACTTACTTGGATGCTTGATAGTTCTCCTAAACTACAAGTTCTCAAGCTCAACAAGGTAATACATACATTTCTAGTTATTCACTTGTTTCATTGTCTTACGTTATAGTTGCAAGGACTAATTAATACACTATAATTGGTGAATTCTGGTAGTGCAAAGAACGCCCTTGTTTCACATCGTTCATCGAACATTGCTGGAGAGGACCAAGTTCAGTTCCTGAATGTTTGCGGTTACATCTCTCTACTTTTAAGTGGAAATATTACAATGGAAGAGATGAGGAGAAGAAAGTAGTGGCGTACATCTTAAAGAACGCAAGACAGCTAAAGACTGCGGCTTTCTCTGTTCAAAGAGTGTTTACCAAGGAAGCGCGATTTCAGAAACACAAGGAGTTGGTTTCTCTGCTTAGAGCTTCAAGCTCATGTAAACTTATGTTGGATTGAAAAGGGATTGTAATGGTCTGTTCCAAGAAAGCTAGAGGCTTTTGGTCTAAACGTTAGATGTGTTGCGAAAGCTCTTATAGCTTCTTATGGTGTTCCCAAGAAGATGATTAGAAGAAGATGGAAACAGGATTAAATTTGCAATAAGTGGATATTTTGAGAATTTTCATTGCATTTCCATTTTTTAAAGTTAAAATATTCAAATCTATATATAATATGTAACTGTGCATTTAAATTACATTTAAGTAATATTTGGGCCGTAAATTTAATGTTTGGGCCATAACGTTGAAACCAAAACCCGTTTTGTTGTGTATTTTTCTCTCAATCTGTTCTTCTATTGGCACATCATTTCTCTCACTCTCACTCTGTTCACTCATCGATTCCTTTCTCAATTGTGGTTAAAGCACTGAGAAACAGAAGCAACCTCATGGAGAAGTATCGGTTCTTTTGATTCTGCTTCATCGTCTGGGTTTTTGGGTTTCTTCTCTTCTCCTCTTTCTTCACGCTTCACGGTAACGATTTGAGCTTGTTAGGGTTTGTTTAGTTCCATGGAATCTGCAGAATTTGAATCCCGTAATAGTTCTGGTGTTTTTGTTTTTGTTTTGGGAGTGTAATCAGATACATCTTCGATTGAATCTGAAAGGTGGGTCTTCTAGCTGAAAAGGGTATTGCTTAGTATTTAGAAATGGATATGATTAGTAATCTGTCGGATGATTTGCTCTTGAAGATTTTGTCACAACTTCCTACCAAAGATGTTGTTGAAACCATGTTTTTGTCGAAGCGGTGGAAGTTTCTTTGGATGATGGTTCCAAAACTTGATTTTGATGATACTGTTTATGAATATTTCGATGATGAGCGTATTGAATACAGGGTATTTCGAGAATATGTTGACAGGTTTTTGGTATTGTACAAGTCTCCGGTTCTTGAAACGTTGAAATTCAACCTGGGTTGTTGGTTGTCCACCACTGATGATATGTCAACATGGATCAGATTTGCAATTGCTCGTCGTGTACGTGAGCTTGAAATTTACCGTTCTTTTGATGCTGATGATTACTCATTTGAATTGCCACGGTGTCTGTATACATTTGAGAAGCTCGTGGTTTTGAAACTTTATAAGTCAATTACGTTGGATGTTCCTAGGGAGGTTTGTCTTTCGTCTCTGAAAGTATTACACATCTTGAGTGTGAAGTACAAAGACAAAAACTCTCTTCGCAGGCTGTTATCGGGTTGTCCCGTTCTTGAAGAGTTGGTTATTGACAAAAGTGAAGGCGACTATCCTCCATCTTTATATGTCATAATGAATTCCTTAGAAAGATTATCTATCCTTAATGAGTTTCACGACACTGGTGAGGAGACATCCTTTGTTGACGAAAAACTTGTGATGAATGTTCCGTCTCTGAAGTACTTGAACTATGTAGATATCTTTGACCTTGGTCATTTGTGTTCGAGTGAGAATATGCCTGAGTTGGTTGAGGCAAATGTGAAGCTTGTTTGCGAAAGTCCCGAGAAGCTAATGAGATCTCTTACGTCAGTCAAGCGCCTCTCTTTATGTTTATATGGTTCAATGGTAAATAAACACAAACTATGTTTGAATATTTTTCATTGCTCTATTAGTAATGTGCGTATGTTTCTGACTTCTTTATGCAGCTTCAGCATCATATTGAATTTTATCAGCTTATTCGCCTTGAGCTATGTGGATGTGGCCCAAAATGGTGGAATCTACTTACTTGGATGCTCCAAAGTTCTCCTAAACTACAGTTTCTCAAGCTCAACAAGGTACTTTAACTCCAACTTGATGCACTCGGTTTCTTTATTCACTTATTTCATTGCATTAAGTTATAGGTTAACTATAGTTTGTATTCTGTTAGTGTGGGGAGATCTGTATATGTTCCATAGCGCCGCCCATTAAACGTAGTTGGGGACAACCGAGTTCTGTTCCTGATTGTTTGCAGTTCCATCTCAGTACATTTGAGTGGAAGTATTACAATGGAAGAAGAGAAGAGAAGAAAGTTGTGGCATACATCCTAAAGAACGCAAGACAGTTGAAGACTGCGATTTTCTCTACTAAAGATTCGTATCTGCAGGAAAAGCAATCTCAGAAGAAACTCAAGGAGTTGGTTTCTCTGCCTAGGGCTTCAAGCTCATGTCAGCTTCTTGTGGATTTTAAAAAAAGAAAGATTTAGTAGTCTGTTACAAGCTATTAAGATTTGGCATGTTTAATAGCAAAAATTGCATATGAGTCGGTGTATGAATAATCCCTCTACTGGTTTTATTCTCAAAATGAAGGAACTGTTGATTTAAAGCAGTTATTAATATCATGTAGTTCAATTTAAAGGAACGATTGTATAATGAAACCTTATCAGTTATCAGTAAGTATCCTTCATTGCAGCCATTTGAACATATTGTTGTTTTTTTGACGCAAAAATCTGCACTCTTTGATGTGTTCTTTGATTGTGGATATCCTTTTTCTTGAGATTTTCTCATTAATAGCTTTGGAAAGCCTTCTAACTGTGAGCTTTTATGTGTCTTATGAATGCGCAACAACCAAAACGTTTTGTATATTATTTGAATTTATATGTGCAGTTACCACACATGCTACCATCTGAGGAAGCTTTTGCTGCTCTTGGAATCGAGAACAAAGATGGAGGAGTGGTTTTGTATGATGGAAACGGGCTCTTTAGTGTATGGTGGTGAGTTACGGATCTCATGTCCCTTATATTTCCTCAGGTATTATGAAATCGATGAGAACTCCTTTAGTAGATAGTTGCTAGTGAACTAGGGGAGCTAACTGGATAATTGATAGGTGAAGAAAAACATTTGGTATACAAAAAAAAAAAAGAGCTTTGATTATCATCTATTTATATGTGCGAATAGCTTCTGAATCTTCATCTTAAGTTATCATCTTCCAAAAGCTGTTTGCCAAAATATATTATCTGCATAACTATCAAATTCCATAAAATTGTGACATCTTTGAATATATTATCTGCATACTCTCCGTATTTTTTGGGTAAACAACAGTTTGGGCCGTAAATTTTATTGTTTGGGCCGTATACGTTGAAACCAAAACCCATAGACTCTGTTGACTCCTCGATTCCTTTCTCAATTGTGGTTCAAAGGACGGAGAAACAGAAGCAAACTCTCTCATGGAGAAGAATCGGTTCTTTTGATTCTGCTTCATCTTCTAAGTTTTTGGGTTTCTTCTCTTCTCTTCGCTCTTCACGCCTAACGGTAACGATTTGAGCTTGTTTAGTTCCATAAAAGCTGCAGACTTTGAATCCCGTAATCGTTGTGGTGTACTTGTTGTTGTTTTGGGAGTGTAATCAGATAGATCTTCGATTGAATCTGAAAGGTTGTCTTCTAGTTGAAAAGGGGTTTGATTAGTGTTTAGAAATGGATATGATTAGTAATCTGTCGGATGATTTGCTCTTGAAGATTTTGTCGGAACTTCCTACGAAAGATGTGGTCGCCACGGCGGTTTTGTCAAAACGATGGAAGTTTCTTTGGATGATGGTTCATAAACTTGATTTTGATGATAATTTCGAGTATGAGGATGTTGTTGATGGTCTCCCTTCCAATTACGAAAGATTTCTTCAGTTTGTTGATAGGGTTATGGTGTTTCATAAGGCTCCGGTTATAAAAACTTTGAAGTTCAGAGTTGGTCGCTGGTGCAACACTGAAGAGATGGCACATTGGATCAGAATTGGAATTGTTCGTTGTGTGCGTCAACTTGAAATTTCCCATTTTGTTGAATATTACGAGGAATATGATCAACAATCGATCATATTGCCAAGGAGTCTGTATATGTTTGCGAAGCTCGAGGTCTTGAAACTCACTAATACTATTGTTCTGGATGTTCCTACCGCTGTTTGTCTTCCTTCTCTGAAATCTTTACACCTTCTGTACGTAGAGTACAAAACCGATGAATGTCATTGTAGGCTTTTGTCCGGTTGTCCTGTGCTTGAAGAGTTGGTTGTGGATATAAGCTCAAACAGCTCTCTGCCATGTTTCTATGTCGTAATGCCTTCCTTAGAGAGATTATCTATCCGTGATACGTGGGTTGACGATTTTGCTTCAAACGTTGTGATTAATGCTCCGTCTTTGAAGTACTTGAACATTGTAGTTACAGCTGGCAATGATATCTCATGTTTGAGCGAGAATATGCCTAAAATGGCTGAGGCAAATGTTAATGTTTCTCATGAAGGCCCTGAGATGGTAATGAGATCTCTTACATCTGTCAAGCGACTGTCTCTATGTTTATCCTTATCCGCTTCAATGGTAATAAAAAACAATCTGTGTGTTTCTTATGATTCAAATTCTGTCATTACTCATGTGCTTATGTTTTTCGAGATTCTCAATGCAGCTTCAGCAACATATTGTGTTTTATCAGCTTGTTCATCTGGAGCTATGTGTAGATGCTCTAAGGTGGTGGGAACTATTTACTTGGATGCTCGAAAGTTCTCCAAAATTACAAGTTCTCAAGCTCATCAAGGTACATTTACCGTAACTTTATGCATTCGGTTTCTCTATGCGCTTGTCTTTTTGTCGACTTTTAAGGTCTAATACTCTATAATTTGTATTTTGTTTGAGTAAGGAACGCTTGTGGTGGTCCGTGAACCCTATTGAAGGTCGTTGGGGACAACCGAGATCCGTTCCTGAATGCTTGTTGTCCCATCTCAATACTTTCCAGTGGAAGTATTACATAGGAGGAGAGGAAGAGAATAAACTGGTGGCGTACATCCTTAAGAACGCAAGACAGTTAAAGACTGCATCTTTCTCTGATTTGAAATTTGCATCGAAGAAAACGCCAACTAAGGAGGTGTTGGTTTCTCTGCCTAGGGGTTCAAGTTCATGTAAACTTATGTTCGATTGAGAAGAGATTGTAATTATCTGTTCCAAGAGAACTAGTTCAACTATTAGGATATGGTCTGGAACTAGAAAGGTGCTCTTATCTTATTTGCTCTAACATTCTGTTTTCAAGAAGAAGATCTAAGGAAAATGTAACAGAGTGATGATTACTTACTAGTTCTGAACATCTAATCATTTGTTTTAAAAGTAGATTTTCTTCTCATTTTTTGTATTTTCAAATGTTGGTTACATAATGAAATGAATGTATCCAAATTTCAAAGACACAAAGAACAATTTTGGTAAAAAAGAGGATTTACTGATTTAGCGACGAATTTTTTTTTTTTTTCCTGATTATTTTTAAGTTTTTGTTCTCTTGCAGTTTTGGGCCGTAGACGTTGAGCCCAAGCCCAATATTTTGATGAATCTGAATTCTCCAGTCTCAGTTCTTCTATCTTTCGCAAACATCTCTTGAAAGCTTACACCTTTATCTCGTTGTGGCTTGAGTTCGAATCCACGCAAGGAACCAAATCATCTCCATCATCTCCAACAAAGATATCTCTGTCTTTCTTTTTGTGATTCTTAATCGTCGCTTGAGGTTTTGGTTTTCTCTTATGGGAATTTCTAGGGTTTTCTTGATTTCCCCTGTTTCTTTGGAATCTACAAGTTGTTGTTGGCTTATGGGTTGATCGTTTCGTTCCCGATAGAATGTCGGATTGAGATTTTCGAATCGAACCCATTTTCAAATTTGGTGTTTTTCATTCAAAGATCGAGACTTTGTGTCTTCTTCGAAGATGTGCATTTCAAAAGAAGACGAAGATCCATCAAGAAATCGAAGGAATCAATCACCATTATCGCTTCCTCAAACTCTGAAACATTTCCAAAAAGATTTGCTTGCTGGTGCTGTAATGGGAGGTGTTGTTCACACGATCGTGGCACCAATCGAAAGAGCTAAGCTTTTATTGCAAACACAAGAGAGCAATATCGCAATCGTTGGAGACGAAGGTCACGCAGGGAAGAGAAGGTTTAAAGGAATGTTTGATTTTATCTTCCGTACTGTTAGAGAAGAAGGTGTTTTATCTTTATGGAGAGGCAATGGAAGCAGTGTGCTTCGTTATTATCCATCAGTTGCTCTCAATTTCTCTCTTAAGGATCTATATAGAAGCATTCTTAGAAACAGTAGCTCTCAAGAGAATCATATCTTCTCTGGTGCATTAGCTAATTTCATGGCTGGTTCTGCAGCTGGTTGTACTGCTTTGATTGTTGTTTATCCGCTAGATATCGCACACACTCGATTAGCTGCTGACATTGGGAAGCCTGAAGCTCGTCAGTTTAGAGGAATCCATCATTTCTTGTCGACGATTCATAAGAAAGATGGGGTTAGAGGAATCTATAGAGGCTTACCTGCGTCTCTACATGGCGTGATTATTCACCGTGGCTTGTACTTTGGAGGGTTTGATACGGTTAAGGAGATTTTCTCAGAGGATACTAAACCAGAGTTGGCATTGTGGAAGAGATGGGTTTTGGCTCAAGCTGTGACTACATCTGCTGGATTGGCTTCTTACCCGTTGGATACAGTTCGTAGACGGATAATGATGCAATCCGGAATGGAGCATCCGATGTACCGTAGCACATTGGATTGCTGGAAGAAGATATATAGGAGTGAAGGGCTGGCTTCTTTTTACCGTGGAGCACTCTCTAATATGTTTAGGAGCACGGGTTCGGCTGCTATCTTGGTTTTTTATGATGAAGTGAAGAGGTTCTTGAATTGGGGAGGGATCTAAGATTAACAAACTGAGAGGTAAGCCTTGTCAATCCAAATTAGAGACAGAAGAAGAATGATTATTCATTTTGTTACTACACCTTAACAAGGAGACATATGTAGAGAGAAAGCTTTTAGGTGATAATATTCGTTTTACCGTATTCGGTTTTGAGGATTTGGCTGGAACACTATGCATCTTGATTCTTTTCTTCTTGTTATAGACTTTGTGTGTATGAGGAAAGAAAAAGAAGGAAACTATTTTGTAAATAAAAGACATGGATTGGTCTAAGCTCAAGTATTGCATTCGTTTTTGATAATTTTTGTCATCAATCTGAGTTTTCATTATGTATTAAGATAACAAAGGTTCGAACTTTGATTTACTCTTGTTCTGTGGATACAAGAAATTGAGTCAGTCCAAGACATAGTACGATGGTTTCGCCTTATACCACAGATAATGTGGAATTTGTACTCGGTTGCTGCAATCGTTCTGCTATTCTTGCGAGTCAGAAACTAGCAAGACAACTCTTACAATCTCTCTAATATTCAGAGGATGCATCAATAAAACAGTAGTAAGATCTCCTTTGTTTTTAATGCAATGAGTTTATGGGATCTCTTAGTGACACTGCTTGAAATGTTTTGTTGTGCTGAAGAGCTTGGAAGTTGCCTCCTGCCAAGCTCTCTGAGTTTACTTTCTCAATGTTTTCCCTCTTCGACCACACAGCGTAGTACTCTCTCTCTTTCTCATTTTCTTTGTGATCTCTCTGTTTCATTTTGAAATTGGTTGATTTATGATACGTGTTTGTATTTGTAAAGGGCATGCCTTAAACGGATGCTGCACATACGAAATCAACTTCATGATGATGAATCAGTGACACCAAGCTAAATACTCTGCCAATTACTAATGTCTGAAAGTCACAAAGATTTGATATATTTCCTATTTTGCCAAATTTTTCTGAGTATCTGAAACGAATCACTTTGTTCAGAACTTCTCTGATTTTTGTTGGAGAGAAAAACTAAAGAGCTTGAAAGCACTTGATCATGTCAAAAGAGTGTGAAACTGACCTAGAGTTCGTTGTCTAAAACAGAGTAACTAACTTTAGGCTTTTTCTCATTATGCTTAGAGAGTAAAGAGTAAAATTTTGGTTTTTTCAGTGATAATTATAAGATGATAAAACATTATTCTCTTTACATAAAGTCCTTATATAAAGAGGTTTAATAAGGACTTTATATAAAGAGGATATTTAGGGTTTCACTTTGAGGGCGACGAAGTTTAATTAGGTCAAACCTTTCTCTTTCACTCTCAATTTTCTTCGTATGCTAGTAGCTGGTATAAATTGATTTGCTAGGGTTTGCGAAATTGCTACCGGCTTGAGAAAGATGCTTTAAACCTTTTTTTCCCAGGTTTACTGTTTCCCAGCATCGGCAACAAAATCAACAGAGACGAAGACCAAAGCTTTTGAGAAATTTTTAAAGGGTTCGGTTTCAATGGATAGGATTAGTCTGTTGTCGGATGACTTGCTCTTGAAGATACTGTCTATGGTTAAAACGAAAGATGCCGTGACCACAAGCCTTTTGTCAAAACGTTGGTGTTCACTTTGGAAACATGTCCCCAAGCTAAATTATATGGATTTAAATTATCCAAACACTGAGTTCTGGAGACCTTCACTTTTTATTGACAAGTTTTTGCTACTAAACAAGGCTCCTGTCTTAGGAGGTATGACACTCACACTTGGTCGAACTTGCCGTCCTACAGATATTCAAACATGGATAAGTTTTGCAATTTCTCGTGGTGTGCGCAATCTTTATATTTACCGATATAGACCTGGTTCAGGGCTCATTCGGTTACCTAGGAGTCTATATACATGTGAAACCCTTGTGAGGTTATACCTAGAAGGAGACTTCATTATGGATTATGTTCCTTTGACAATTTGTTTCCGTTCACTCAAGGTTTCTACCCTTTCTCTTGTGAATTTCTCAAGCAATGAAATCGTTGATAGATTCTTTTCTGGTTGCCCTGTCCTTGAAGACCTGAAAGTGGTTCGAGGCAATGACAACGTGAAGATTTTCACAATCGCAATTCCTTCATTGCAGAGATTAACAGTCATAGACTGTTGCTCTCATGTTCCCGGAGATGGGTTTGTTATCAAGGCTCCTTCTTTAAAGTCGTTAACGATTGCTAACAAGTTTAGTTGCTGCTATTCATTAGTGAGTATGCCCTACCTCGTGAAGGCCGATATCAAGCTTCAACATGGTGATTCTAAGAATTTTAAGGGATTGCTTAACTCAGCTAAACACGTTTCCTTATGTTTACAACCACCAATGGTAATATCTATGTGCTTTTATGATAACATATTATTCTCTTTGTCATTACAAAATAGTTCCACTCACTTATGATGCCACTTGCAGGATTCTTGTCCTATAGGCATCTTCAATCAGCTAGTGTCTCTAAATATTTGTACGTGCTCTCTAGATTGGTGTGGTCTTATACTCAGACATGCACCTAAACTCCGAGTTCTCAGATTCGAGCTAAAAGAAGTTAGGTTGTTTCCAAAACAAAATACTCCTGTCCAGAGATGTTGCATCAGTTCTGTAGATGTCCAAGCTCAGTTGGAGCAGCTGGGTTCTGTTCCTCACTGTTTGATTTCGAGTCTTGAAACTGTTGAGTGGATTGGTTACAAGGGAACACAAGCAGAGAAAAAAGTGGTGATGTATTTACTAGAGAACTCTCCACAGCTAAAGACAATGGCTATTAGATCCTTGAAATCGACCAAAGATAGTGAGAAATTCAAGATGCTGCAAGAGCTGTCGTCTACGCAGAGGAGTTCAACCAAATGTCGGCTTTCGTTCACCTGAAGTTCCCCGACTAATCTCAGTTATATATTGAAACAGTCGTTTACATTCTTGAAGCATCATTAGTAGTTATGTTGTTTTGATAACTTTACAAGTTTTGACAAACTTTGAAGGGAAGGGCTTCTTATAATCAAGAGTCAAGACACTGTTCTTTTTTATGTGTGTCCAAAGTTATTGGTGTCATTGTAATCATAAGAACGCAGATTTTGTTTTCAGAATTGCGATGAATACTTTTAGAGTTTTACTCAAACGAAAATAGTGTTCCACTATATATAAATAATTTCGATAAAATTTGATCATCAATCGAGTCAGATAGTTAAGGAAAGCTCAGCTCTTGAGTCTTGTTAGAGAGTAGATCAGTGACTGATACAGAGCCAATTCTACTCTGGCCTAGGCTTATCTGGCTTTCTCTTAACTTTAGGACAATGCCAATTATACTCTCTACAGACTACATTATATTCACTAATTTGGAAAAGAAACGACTTAGCTTTATGTTACTGGAGTGAGGTTGGTTAAGTTTTGAAATTAATTAAACCACTACTAGGTAATAATTCACTCTATGCATGGAACAAAACTATTCGTAAAATTGTGTGTTTAATATGTTCAATAGATCTTAATGTTGATGATTATTTCAATATTGTCTGCATTATAAAATAAAACAATGAAATGTGTTTATTGATAAAGTGATTAGAAAAAGATGATCTGAAATTTATTATGGACAAAAAAATGTATTAACAAACAAATGAATTGAGAAATATTAACTTCGTTTTATTTTCCTAGTCTGATAGATTAGAAATTTAATTTAATTTGGTTACAAGGATTTAAGAAAAATCTCTTATAATCTAATTCCATAGATAGATAATAAAAGATTGAAAATGAAAAAAAAATCTCACTAACTTTAGAAGATATGTATATCGTTTTCTTAAAGATATGTAATTACCGAAAACTATTTTCTAATGTCATAGTATCATATAATAAAATATACATTAAAGATTTTGTAAACATACAATTTATCATTTTATTTTCATATATTAAATTTATATTATCTTTTAAATTTATATGTGTAATTAAAGATATGGGCCTGATTGGTTCAGGCTGTAGCTGTAGATTTTTGACTGTAGATTTTAGGCTGTAGATGTTTTGGCTGTGACTGTAGATTTTAGTGCTGTAGTATTTTTGCTGTAACATTTAAAATTTTGGAAAGTTGAAAATTGTATGCTTTAGAAAAAAAGGCTTTCTACAGCCAAAAAAATTAATTATGGAAATATTTTGGCTGTGAGAAAAAAAAGGAAAGCTAAAGCTTCTAAAGCTTGATTGGATCTATTTCAATGCTTTAGAAATTTTTTTGCTTTGTAAAGACTTAAAGAACTTGCCAATCAGGCCAGTAAATTTTAGAGAGTGTTATCTTTTTTTTTTTTTTAATATTCAGCATTTGTTTTTTTGTTAAAGAATATTCAGCATTTGTTTTTTTGTTAAAGAATATCCAGCATTTGACTGAGTATAACTAGGTCGTAGTTGATTTGTTCAGAAGGTTAAAACTTTCTCGTTGATTCTCAATTTTTTTTTTTTCCGTATGGTTTGATTTGAAACAAGTGCGTTGTCATAATTGCTAGGGTTTGCTTTTGGGGTCTCTGCTTGAGAATTGTTACGGGCATAAGAAAAGCAACAAAATCTACTGAGACAAACTTTTGAGATTTTGAAGGGTTCGTTTACAATGGATAGGATCAGTCTTTTGCCAGATGATGTAGTATTCAAGATATTGTCATTCGTTCCAACCAAAGTTGTTGTATCAACAAACCTTTTGTCGAAGCGATGGCGTTATCTCTGGAAACATGTGCCTAACTTGAGTATCTTGATCCATCTCCTGACACTGAGCACTGGAGAACTTCGCGTTTTGTTGACAGGTTTTTCCTACTACACAAAGCTCTTGTCTTGGAAACTCTGCATCTCACTCTTAGTCGAAATTGTCCTTCTATAGATATTGAAACATGGATTAGTGTTGCGATTTCTCGTGGCGTGCGTAATCTTCACATATTTCAACATAGACCTGGTTCAGGGCCCATACGGTTGCCTAGGAGCCTGTATACATGTGAAACCCTTGTGGCCTTAGACCTACGACCAAAGGTCATTATTGTGGATGATGTTCCTTTCAAAATTTGTCTCGGGTCACTCAAGGTTTTGGTCTTTACACTTGTGAAGTTCTCAAGCGTTGAGATCCTTCATAAACTTTTATCTGGTTGCCCTGTCCTTGAAAAACTGACAATGGTTCGAGGTGATGACAACATGAAAAGTTTCACAATCGCGGTTCCTTCATTGCAGAAATTAATAGCCGTAGACTGTCGCTCTCAAGTTCCCGGAGATGATGTTGGATTTGTGATCAAAGCTCCATCTTTAAAGTTTTTGTTTATTTTATCTCGCTGTTGTGGGTTTCGTTCATTAGTAGATATGCCAGACCTCGTGAAGGCTTATATCAAGCTTGGACATGGTGATTCTAAGAAGTTTATGGGATGTCTTACCTCAATCAAAAGCCTCTACTTTTGTCTACAACCACAATTACTTGTAAAGTCT